TATAAATTCCATGTTGTTTGGGTCTCGGGAGCGCAAAAGCAAGCAGACTCAACCCAAAGAGGCTTCCCTTATTCTGCCGGATCACTGGGTTGCTGGGGTTTGGTTCCGTGTGGCCCTCCCTAAAGCATTCTGCCGTTCAACCAGGGTGCTAGATAGTCGGATCAGCAACATCAAAGCTCAGCTTGTTTTGGGTGACTCTGTTATGCGTGTACCCCTTTTTTGAGGGGCTGTAAAGGGAACCCAACAGGACAACCATCAATTTGGGGAGGGTCCTCTGAAGAATGACACCCATTTGCTAGCTGGAATTCACTATGGGAGTCTAGGCCATACCGAGACCCGTGGAAGAGTCAAGCTCTAACCCCCCTGCCTGAATCGCGCCTTGGCGCCTTTTGTGTGTGTGTGTGTTTTGTGCAACTTCGCGCCAGGGCCCCTATCTCACTTAATACAAAAGCAACTGCTAAGTACCCCGGTGCTTAGCACCCAGCAACCCCAAGTTAACTTTTTCGAGACCATTCTGTTTTATGTTGAACTGTGTTGTTGTTTTTCTGTCCATCGCGGTGATCGGAGCCAAACAATTCCAAGCTTCAACAGCTGGCTTTTGAATCAGTCCCGGCGTTCCTGTGCCTGCTTTGTCAATGGTGCATTCAAGGGAAGCCGAACCTACTCCCGAAGTGTCTGGACGTTAGTCGCTTCTAGAGTTTGGACCACTTGTGTTAGCTTCAAACTTCCATCACTTGCTTTATGGCACCACTTACCTGGAAGATCAATATCCTCTTCAATGTGCACCCTGTCAGGGTGTTAGTGGGAGGAAGGGTAATACTGTGGATGGTTGAGAAATCAAATTCCCGCGCCTCTGAAACCCTGGAATCTCAGCGGAACCCAACTGTTTCTCAAAAAAGACATGCAGATCTAAGTAGAAGCCTTGTTTATGACAGAAAATGGGGTGTTCCCCTCCAAAAATGGTCTGAATCCCCCACTAAAACCTTGGGATGAGCGAGCGCCAGGTCAAGAAAAAGGAAGTCATTTCTCTGTGGTCAAACAGTAGGAACCTAGTCCCAGTGCCGGTCGGGGAATCCAGGCGAAACGCCATGGAAGCACTGGGAGTGATCCAGAAATCAATTTCACGAAATGAAACCCGTCAATATGTCCCCGGGAAAAATTGTGCTATATGTCCGGCAGTGATGATTTTCCTCAACCAACAAGGGGAAATAAGACAAATACTTCAAAAAAGTTTTCTCTAAAACCAACAAGGGGAAATAAGACAAATACTTCAAACAAGTTTTCTCTAAAACCAACCAGGGAAAATAAGACAAGTACTCAGAAAAGTTTCCTCTAAAACCAACCAGGGAAAATAAGACAAGTACTCAAAAAAGCGAATCAAACGCCATGGTTCAAACCAGACGGGGGTCGTACGACCGCAGGAAGGGCCAACTGAAGGCCCTGGCTTTGGATGCCGCCGGGGAGATCCACGAGCTGCAGGTGGGGTACACGTGGAAACCGCTTGAAGGGTTCCCTAAGCACGAGGTCGCGTGACGGTCTTTTTGGTACATGTTTTGGTACATGTAGAATATATATGCGGGGTGGGGGGGTGGGGGGTGAGGGGTGGGGGGTGGGGGATGGGGGAATGGGGGGTGGCGGGGTGGGGGATGGGGGGTGGGGGGAGGACACGGACACGGGGAGTCGGAGCCACGGGTCTCAGGGGCCATGAAAACCCATTGGCTGAGTGCCCGTTTGTGGCTCACTTCCTGCGTGGGTTGGCCACACAAAAACTCACACGCTTCATTTTTACCACTGAACGGTCTTCAAAGTGACCAAAGTCCAACTCGGGAAGAGAGCGCCGGGGGTGCCATACAAAGGACCATCCAAGATTCATTGCTGGTGTCCTTACCCCAACAAAGTACGCACCAACAAACAACTGGATTGCCCTGAGCAAAAGGTCGATCACCTTTTGTAGCTTTGATGGATAAGCCATGTGTTGACAAGGTCGTTTTTGTTGTGAAATCACCAAAATATCACCCAAAAGACACCAAAACCTGGGCTTCCTTCCCCGATTTTCGGAGGTGGAGAAGGAGCAGCTGCGGCAGGCTCTGTTGGAAGCCACCACAGGAGCGCTGAAATTTTCCCGGCGAGTTGGGCTCACTTCCTGAGTTTTTGAACTGTAAACTTTTTGGGTTTGGACCAGTGTAGTGGTAAATGCAAAGTTTTGGCTTTTTTTGGGCCATCCACTCAGCAAGTGAGGGGGATAAAACGAGCGAAAGACCGCGGTAAAGATCCTTTACACTCCCTCGGGCTAACATGGAAGCTTCTCAAATTGGCCTTTGCAAATGGAACCAAGTCTTCCAAAGGTTCCGCTGAAAAAAAGTACCCCCCCCCCCCCCACAGGCCTATTCTGATGATTTACCCTCCTATCCACAAACATGGAACTCGCCAAGGGGTCCTGTTTAAAGGAAATCAATCACTAAGACCCTTCAGTCTGGTTCCCTGTTAATGGAAAGGATAGTCATAATTTGGGCAATGCTGTGGATGGAGGAAATCCTGCACCTTTGAAACCATGGCAGACCGGGCAACCATCATGCCAGAGTGACTTTGGTGAGAAATGGATTTCGTCCATCCACAGTAGTTCACCAACCTGACAGTACGTCCTATGAAGAATCTGGCTGCGGGCACAGTGCAATTCAGCAAGCCTTTTGCTCACCCGAGTGGGCATCAACTTAGCGCCTCATTGCCAGACTAAGCTCGCCTTTTTGTGTTGGTTTCCCGAATGCTCTTCTTCAACCGGCCAAAGAAGTGAACTTGTTCAATCAAGAGACCAAGATAAAATGCATGCATCGTCATGTTTCTCCCAGACCCTCTACGCAGCGCCAAAGGGTTTCGCATTTTTCCAGCGAACCAAAAGCAACTGAGCAAAGCCGCTCAGGCGTCCCTTTGGTCAAGCCCAAGGTTTTGCTGTATGCTTTACACATGGGTGCCCTTTTACGGGGTTTCCTCCAATACACTATTGAACTTTTGGAGCCTCTGAAAGTGGCGATCGTTTTCATGGAAACCGCCAGAGAAAATGGGCAACCTTAAAGGAACTCCAGTGACACCCATGGATTTTTCCCTGGGTCCCCTTTTCAAGTCACGCATATTAAAGTTCACGAACTGTGCACCAGAAGCAAACACGTGTTTGGTTCTGGGGCAAAAATTGAAAAGTGCTGGGGTACCTCAGCTGGTCAGCAACGGGTTATCACTTGCAGCCATGTGTCCGGGTTAAAATCATTCTCCATTTGCCTGACGCATCTAGAATCGCCGGAATGTCTGGCCTTGCAATCAAAGTGACCCCCACTTTGACAGGTCGAGCGGGAAAAAGCCGCTGACTGTGAGTTGACTGCTATTGGGTTGGACCTTTAGACTTTAACTTTTTGCACTAGACCCCCCAAAAAGTGAGAAACTTTTGGGAAATCAAGTTGGGTTTTCCACTCGGCCCCCAAAAAGCGAGACACTTTTTGCAGGGGCGTTGCGGCAAGGTGACCCCAAGGGCCCTTTCGAGCAGCGGGCCTCCTTTGTGCCATTGAACCGGGCCTCGAAAGCTCCCCGTCCCTTGATGAGTTACAGGATGTTGGAACTGCCTTCATTTTCTTCCGTTTGGTTAAACATAGTTGTTATTTTTCCCCTGTTGGCTTTAAAGGGGATCCATCACTACTGGATTTTTTTTTTGCCAGGGGTCTTAACCAAATGGAGGTTTTGTCCACTTTCATGATGGAGGGTACCACTTATACACCCCATACCGTATATAACCTGGTGGTTGGAAGGGAGCCGGATTCGAAGCTGGGGGTATCTAAATAAAGGCTTTTAAAGGGGGATACTTGCGGAGCTACCTTTCGGAGCCCCAACAAACGTGGTTTCATTCCCACGACTTCGTGGTGCGATTTCTGGATCACTTCCAGTGCTTCCTGTCACCACTTCCAGGTTCAAACCACCCTGGTTTGCCCTGACCTGCCTATGGTGGCATGGCTAACTCTCATGATTTCCCCTGGCTTCCTCTACAAGTCACTGACACTGGGTTCCTAATGACCAGAATGACTTCCTGTTTCTGACTATGAGGGTGCTTATCCCCGGTGGTGGGGCTTCAGACCGCTTTTGGAGGGGAACACCACTTTCGGCCCCAGATGAAGTCATACTGGATGGACAACCGTCCAACTCCTACACCACCAATACAAACAATGGCTGGAACCAAAACGTTTGTTGGCATTTACAGGGGAATCAAATGATTCCCAAGGTTTCTTATACATACATGCATGCATGCATACATACATACATACATACATACTTGGGTGCATTTTGCTTGGCTGTTAGGACTTTAACTTTTTTGCCAACTAATGGGTTTTCCACTAAACCACTAAGAGTTAAACTTTTAGCAGGGGAGCAGATTTCGCAACCGAGCATGCATACATACCAGGTGGTGCGAGACGGATTTCGTCCATCCGCACCGCGCCGTCTCCGCGCCGCGAAAACGCTGGCAGGAGCCAACCTGGCGGCCAGCGCGGCCAGCGCTGCCGCGGCCGCCGCGGAGAAGGCTGCGGCGCGGATGGTGCGGAGACTCTGACGGCCATCCGTTTCCTCGGGGGTGTCTTCCGTTTTTAGGTGCCCAGCCATCCGGTCCCAAGGTTTTTGTTTATGTTTTTGGGGTGGTTTAGAGTTTTTGCGTTCATTGAACCCACTAATTAAGTACGAATCGGCCGTTCGCGGTTGTTGGATCGTGTTTGTAGGTGTTTTGTTCGGGTTGTTTGGTACTGCTGTTGGATCACGTGTTTATGTGGTTTGGTTTGGGGGTTCTGCTCATGTTTAGTTGGCCGCAGAAAGCAACAACATATTTTGCTGCCATGGTTTTCCCCAAGCTTCCAAAACGCTATCTTCGCGTTTGCTGGAGAGTGGTGTTCAGTTCCGCTGGTAGTGGTAAAGGGAGTTTATCTCTACTACATACATGGAACTGTGTGTGTCTCTTTGTTTTTGCTTAAGCAATTGGAGGGAATCGATGACAACTTTTGTTTCTCCCTTTCGATCAACTTTAGTCAAGCTTCCAAAAGGTAAACCTTTCTTAAATATGGCTGCGGCTCAAAAAATCCGGAAAATTCCAAAACGGAGTGGAAACATGGACCAAAACCTGCGGTTTGCCCTCCGGTTTGATTTTGAGCCATACCCATATCCAGCTCCTTTGGATCAAGCGGGTGTTTTGATGTCCACTGAACAAACCTCAGTCCACGGCTAGCCTTTGAACCCGTTGGGTGAGAAACTGAGCGGCCAACGCAGGGTGGGCCAGAGCAACTGCTGAGTGGCTAGTGACTTATTTGGCCCTCCGCAAGGCATTCTCATCATGCTCCCTTTGCTGAAGCAAATTTGTTGCTATTTTCCCTTGTTGGTTTTAAAGGGCACTTATTTCACTACTGGACATATGTTCTCATTTTTCCTTTGGGCGAACGAAGAATCAACTGGAAGTCATTGCAACCCACCGATTAACTTGCAACTTTTCGAGGCGGAAGCCAGAAAAAAAAACACCTGGTGACTTGAAGAAGAATCAGTCAACTGTTCATGGCTTCCTTCGCCAATCTGGAAGCCAGCAGAAAATGGAGCGGTTTATTCTTCCACCCCCCCCCCCAAAAAAAAAGAAGAGAGAAAAGAAAACAAAAATAATAAATCAAAGGCAAAAGAAAAGAGCACAACAAACACACAAAAACAACACTTAGCGCCCAACAGCCCAACAAGTCGGCCATGCCCCATAGACGTCGCTTCCCGCACTTTCCGGCACTCGAAGAGATGAACGCCCCGACATGAACGTGCAGTTCTCGAGGGAGTCCCGTTTGGTTCCTTGAATCCGCTTTCCAGATTGTGCCGATCTTTGAATGTAGCTCTTGGTCAACAAACACGTACCCCGCAAAAATGCGTCACACACATATATGTATGTATATATATACAATATATATATATATATGTATGTATGTATGCCAAAATTTTGGCCCTTTTACAGCAAACTCCTCCAAAAGGCCCTCATGTTCCAAGGGGTACGACCTCAAAGCTACTCATGGCGCCCTTGGCATAGGATACACGGCCACTACATAGCCACTATATAGGTATACACGCCATCTCCCCGGTGAATCCACCGATTCAGAGCCATGGAGGGGCCCACGGGCCCCAAAAAGTGATCACCTTTGGGTCCAAACTGGGCATCCTGCAGTTGCCACACTCCAGGGTTGGATCTTTAGACTTGAACTTGCTCGAAATCATTCGGGTTTTCCATTGAACCCACAAAAAGAAAAAATACAGAGGCGTCTTGCCACGCTTCCGAGGAAGGCCGGCGACGACCTTGTCGCTTCCGCTCCGGCTCCGGGTCGCCTCGTTCCAGCGGAGCAAGGGCTGCACCCTGTGGGGCTGGTGATCATGGCGGACGAGCTCTTTCAGAAGACCCCCGTCTTTAGCAAGCAAGTTATATGGGTATGGATCAAATTAAACCACCAAAAAACCGCAGGTTTAGTCTATGTTACCACGTACCAGGGTTCAATTTTGGGTACCTATTTCACAGCCATATGGCATTTTCTCAGATTTTGGAGGTAATGTTAACCTGGAGAAATAAACCCCTGGTTGATTAATTGGGGGGTGGAATCCCCCTTTGAGTGGGGATTCAAACCAATTTTGGAGGGGACACCCCCCTAATAATGGGACGGGTTTATTAATCCTGGGTCAACATGATAGAGGTCATACAATGCACCACTACATACAAGGGGTACTGCCTTACTATCAGATTTTGGAGGTACTGAGGTAATATAATGTACCACTACCTATAAAGAGTGCCTTACAGTTTTATATAGTGGCATAGCATCCACGCCCTGAAACCCCATACGCCGCAATGCCGTTGATTAGAGGCCACCCCCGGAACCTGAAGAAAAACACGATTGGCTCGGCCCGAAAAACTGGTGGGTCTGAACCAAACAGGGCCTTGGCTGCCGGCGTGTGTGTGTGTGTGTGTGTGTGTGTGTGGGTGCGTGCGTGCGTGCGTGCGTGCGTGCGTGCGTGCGTGCGTGGGTGGGTGGGTGGGTGGGTGGGTGGGTGGGTGGGTGGGTGCGTGGGTGCGTGGGTGCGTGGGTGTGTGTGTGTGTGTGTGTGTGTGTGCGTGGGTGTTCATGTTCTGGTGAAGTTGCCTGGCTTTTCGGCTGGTTCTTGGTCGCATCTTCAACCTGACCAGGTGGAACGCCTTAGCTGCACATGTCGCTTTTTGCGCGGGGGTCCACACACCGAACGGCAGGGTTCGCGAAGCGGCCTTTGATTGAGGCAGTTGAGAGCTGCTCAAACTCGAAATTCCATCTCAACATGCGTATCTCATGACATGGGTTCCGCTTGCCAGATGAAGCGCCCAGCGCCCGCGCGTGCACGATGTTTGTTGTTTTTTCTCCCCTCCGGAAGCTGAGGAGATATGCGCCTCAGATCCAGTCGGTTCGGTGCTATGTCCAGCAGCAAGGCTATGATCTGTGGCTGCTGAACGGCATGATGTTTCCGAGGTGTGTCGCGCGCCCTGGCGTGCACGAGGAGACGGGATTGTCCTGTCCAGTTCTTCAAGAAAGTTGCATGAGGCATAAGATCAAGCCTTGCTTGGTGGGTAGAAGGGTTTGCTAAGACTTCTTTCTTTTTGAGAAGCCCCTTGTCCACTGCCCTGATGTTAGAAAAGGAGCCCCAACCCATCACGTGCTAAAAAGAGAAAGCAACATGTGACGACTAAAATGGAACCAACCAGGGGGTCCCTTTTGAAGGCAAATTGTCTTCCAGGACCCCCCTGCTTAGGTTGACCCTTAAACCACCCTTAAATATGGAAAGTTTGGGAAAGTGGCACATTTTTAAGGAGTCCAGGTATGTGTGTTTTTGGAAAACCCAGTTGGGATGTACCTGGACTCATTTCGCACCAGTGGTGGATCAAGCCCTATGAATGCTGGGGTGAACCTGCCACTGGCTCAGACTTTTTATCCATCCGTATCTTATTATCTTCGGACCTCAGGAGTCTGTTCAGGCAACTGGCACCAGCGCATCTTCTCAAAGCATCGGGAGGATCCGCATACTGTGTCTAGAATTCTCATGGTTCCCCATTTGGCAAATGGGAAATCGCCTCACTCCCTGAGTTTCGTGCCCTTGATGCTTTGTGGTGCTTTGTGGGAAGTCCGTTTTACTGGCAGACTTCTTTCAGCCGATCCACTCGGGAAGCGGGCTGAACCGGTTTCCAGTGCGGCTTGCTTGCTATCATTTACCCCATCTACCTAGACTGCTTGCTTGCTTGCTAGCTAATGTAAGCCAAAAGACTTGGCCAATGGCGTGAGCCCAGTGGCTCGGTCTAAGAAATCACGTGCAGGACATCCTTTGCGTTTGGTGTATGTTGGAGACATGTTCGGTAGAAATTCCTGCTGGTTTCTACATGGGTGTGTGTCTTTTTAAAGGTGGGACCCCCAAACAAATGGTGTTGGTTTTACTTGTGGTGCCCCTTTAACCCCCCCCCACACACCAAACAAAAAAACTCAACTCAGACAAGACAAGACAAGACAAAACAAGACAAGACAAGACAAGACAAGACAAGACAAGACAAGACAAGACAAGACAAGACAAGAGACACACACACACACACACACACACACACACACACACGCCCATATGCGCGTGTCTCCAAAGAGAAAGCCGTTTGTCGGGGAGGGCTTAGAGGGTTCAAGGGAAACCGAAAAGTTACCCTATACCTGGGGTCTCTAATTTTGAGAATCGCCCAGATGTTTCGCAGAAGTGGCATCGCCCAGTTCGCAGAAGCCGTGGCCTCAGGTTCCACAGCGACTTCTTCTACTTGAAGCACTGCGCCGTGGCGGAGTTCTTGGAGACTCAGAAGGAGGGGCGCCTTGGCTCCGATCGGCGCGGGCCAAGAATTTCCGCTCCCACGAAACGGACCTCAGAGTGGGCGTGTTGTTTTTGGCTCCGGGGCCTCGCTTCCCGGGCTTTTGGACTCGAAGCTTTCGGGGTTTGGATCAGTTTCTCAGTTGTCCAAAGCGAATCGACCGGATCTGACCTTTTGGTTTTCCCATTTTGGTCGAAATGGCCCCAATGGGAAAAGGTTTTGGTCGAAATGGTCCGAACTTCCCATCTTGGTTTCCCCTTTTTCCTATTTAGTCATGGCCCCAAAGGGCGATCAGCTTTTAGTTCCATGGGTCCCATAGGGGCAACTGAGTTTTGGCGGGGAGTGGTAAGCCAAAAGTTCGGACCTTTTTTGGCCAACCCGCGGAAGTGAGGGGCAGGGGGGGGTGATGTGTTCGAAGCAGAGTAGAACCGACTTCTCTACTCGAGTGGGGAATCGGAAGGAGTTTTAGACATGCGGGGTCGCGTTGGAGGAGGGGAAACGGACCCATCTACTCAAACCCCGTGGGTGTTTCGGAATAGGTTTGCCCTAGCTTGGCGTATGTGATCGATCCCTTCGGAAGGAACTAGGGGGGGTGGGATGTCCTTCCACAAAACACCCCCGCTAAAGATCCAAGGAAACTCCAAAAGTGTAGGAAGCTCCAATTCTGTTCCCCTCCCCACAGTTTCGGTCCGTTTGAGTCTTTTTGCCAGGGAATTCGGGTTTGGGGCTGTTGACGTCGGGGGTGTCTACTTAGACTTGGCGTTGGCGGTAGGGTTCGTGCCATGGACGGGAGTCATTTTTTAACTCAAACCCAAAAACACCTCCCGAAAACAAGGCACCTGCACCCTCAAAGTCAAAATGGGACAAATACCCGTAAAGCTGGGAAATCAGCCCACCACTTTAAGCTACCCATAGCTCTTCAAAATGGGAAATCACCTCATGTTGGTCCGCATCTCTTTTCCTGGGCCGCTTTTTCCCGTGTCCGGGTCGCCAAAGGAAAGCTTCCATTTGGTTAAGACCCCTGGAAAAAATATAAATATTCCCAGGAGTGACAGATTCCTTTTAAAACCAACAAAGAAAAACAATGATAAAAAAAGGAAAAACAACATTTCAGCAAATGGAAGAAAAAGGAAAAAGGCAGCCCGAGAGGTGTGGACGACGTCCGTCCCTGGTTTTTTTGGGGGCGGGAGCGGAGGTACAGCGCGGTGGTGCTGGACGCCGACGTGGTGGCGGTGGCGCTGGACCGGCCCTTGGACTTCTGGCTCTCGAGCCGCCCGGCCTCGTGCTCGGCTTCTCCGAGCTTTTCGGGGAGGTTAATTACAGCAAAGGGACGCAGGGAGCGGAGGGTTTTGCCCCTGAATTTGCACCTAGACTCTCCATGACCCTTAAAAAATGGCTGGTCATTACCCAAATATACAGGGGTCAAATGGGCCCATGTTTAAAGGGTCATGGAGAGTCTAGGTACTGGCATTTTTGGTCTTTTGGTTTGTGTGGGGCGTGGGGTGGTTGTTTTCGAGGGTGCCCTTTTTGGGGTGGCCTCCGAAGGGGCACCTGGAGGAAGCTCACGTTTTTTTGTTTTTTTTTTGGACAAGCTTAGATAGTGTTTCCATGTTTTCTGGGATCTTCGAAATCAAGATGGGAGTGTTTCTCGTTCTTTCTTTCTTTCTTTTTTTTGGGGGGGGGCTTTTTGGTTGGTTTTAAATGGCAACCGACATAATGCAACCTTTTTTGGGGGAAACCCGATCTTATACTCCCATTTAGCCAAGGCAAGTCTGATCTGCAGTTCTACGAGCGCCTCTCGGCCGCGGGCATCCGCAGGACCTTTGGGGGCCCCGCACGGGTCTGTGATGCAATAGCACCCCATACCCTCCCACCAATTCACATGGAACCTGCCACAAAATCCTGGAAGACAATCTTCCTTTTGAAGGGACCCCCTGTCCGGAATGCACCTTTCTGGGAAAATGAGCGTGCTGGTTCCTGGGGAAAGTCGCGATTCTTTTGCCGCCGAGGTGGATGCAGGGCTGTTCGCAGGGTCTGGGATCTGTAGAATGGAATCATGTTACAGCCCAGAATCCGCGCATGTCGTGTTTTTCTTCTTCTTCTTTTTTCTCGGTTCAAAAATCTGAGGTTCAGCGTCCCCCTAATTGGTGGCTTGGATTTGTGGTTTGGAGGGCTAGGTTTAATCCAAAGCCAAATCCCCAGTTCCCGCCAATGAGCATGAGGCATCGCCGGACCGGAAGTGATGGCAGGAGACTCGGCGGCAAAAGGCCGTTGGGCTGGCGAGTGCTGGGCTCACATGCGTCCGTCTTGAAGGCTATTGGGTTGGATCTTTGACCCTTTATCTAGTGGGAAAAAGTGACATGTCCACCCTTGAAAAAGCTAAACTTTCTCGGCAGGGGGCTTTCTGCCATGACGTAACGTGGTTCCGCAACATTAGGGGGAATGTGGGCCCCTGGGCCCCTCGAGGGGATCCGAATGTACCTTGAGGGGTCTTCCTTCACTTCTGCATCCAGGCTTGGGTCAGCATGTGATCTGTCCAAACTAACCCCTGCCTGCTTGACAAATCTTTCTGTAGAGATGGTTGCTTGGCAAGTGGGGGTCCCCACTTGAAACAGGCAAGATATGAATGCATCGTCCAGAAGGTGCAGCAACGTGCTGCAGGGCGCATCGGCAATGACCATCTTTGGTTGGGAAAAGGAGAAGCAAAGGAAATAAGTCAGCGTTGGTGAGCAAGAACGCAGCTACGCAGTCTGTTTGTTTTCTAGGTCCCCCAGTAGCGCCCTTTTACCCTTTTTTGGGGGAGGGTTCCCCTACTAAAATAGACTACAGAAAAAAAGGGTACCCTTATTCTAACCTCTCTACTGGAGGACCTAGTTTTGTTTAAACCACCCCAGCCTTGCAGGCATCCGACTCGAACAACGGCTTCTGTTCACCCGCCACGCACACAAATGCACATTTTCGGTTGCACGGCGTTGTGCAACCGATAAGAATTATCAAACGATGATCAGGCAGTCTAAGCAGGCGGCAGCTCAGGAGCATCGCATTTACATCAAGGCGCAAACACCTTGAAGCGCCCCTCGCGCTTCTCATGTCTATCTGCCTGTTTTGTTGGAGGGTCTTTCCCTTCAATGTCGCCTGCAAAAATAAGAGTGGGCTGCTATTCTCGCATGGAACTCCTATGTCTCCATGGAATTTGGGGGTCGAGAGGGTATGTGCTTTCACTTGTTGGTGCTCGGCAGGGAACAAGGGAATGAACCTGAAATAGGTTCTAAAATGGGTGGTGCACCTACCCCAAAATGGGATCCCCTTGGTTTTGACAACACACCCACATATCCAGTGCTACCCCTATGCGAAGCCTCTCAGAGCCAGGAGGCCGCCCGGCGGTTGGCGTCCCTTGACGCTGAGCATTAAATGACACTACAGTCGGGGATGGTTGGGTGTCATGCCCTGCCCATTCAGTCCCCCATCCTATGGTGTCCTTTCTTCGGGACTCCCGAAAACCTGTTCATTCCCTCATTCCCTGCCTATAGCAGCAAGTTCAGTCCCCAAACAACCTGTTCAGTTCTGCCTTATTTTTGCCCTATTTCCCCATGGAGAGGGTATGTGCTCCTAGTCCCCAGGAAACTACATTGCCCGCAACGTGCCCTGGGTCCGCGAGTTCCTGCGGCACTGGGCCCCGGCCTTACCATCGTTCGCATGGCGCATGCGTCGAGCGCGTGGCTGCGCCCCCTGGGCCCATGGCTCGTCTTAACCTCGGCAGCCTAAGGGAATCCACCGCCAGGGCCAAAGGGGAGTGACAAGGGGAATTGGGACCCCTTGCATTTTGGCATTCCCTGCGTGTTCTCGGTGGTTTCCCAAAAAAGAATCCCCCCCCCCAAAGAGGGTACCCTCAAAAAGCCACACCCAAATCTGGCGGACGCCAGCAAAATACGAGTTGGGCTTGGGCCAAAGCTGAGGTTCCATCTTCTGAAAGTAACCCATGCCTTAAGATATTGAAATGCGCCTTGCGGTGGTCTTTGTTTTGTTTCTGGGTGTTGCAAAAGGATTGTAGAGTGCACCGAAATAATTGTGCGGACATGGAGATAGACGGAGTAGTGCAGCGCTACTTTGCATGCAACGAAGCCAGCACCACTAGGTGATTTATCCCAGCGTCACATCCGTCCCAACTGCGAGGTGTTTGTTTGCATCCACGTTTTGATTTTGCGACAAATGGATGTCGCATCAAAACTGGGTGACCCAACCATTGTCGGTTTTCCTTGTGGTTTCCCTTGCAACCAGCCTGAAAACCAAGGTGCGGAATTTCCGCGTTTGGCGGATATCTCCCCGGTTTTTTTTTTCCCCCCGTGCTGATCCTTTAGTCGTCCTATTCTACAGAATAGGTGAGCCCAAAAAGATTCGCCTCCCAAGCCGATCGAGCCCAAGACGAGGGGCTCGAGTCTCCTTCGGTTCCGATCCGCAGGCCCTGCTGAGGAGCCGCAAGCCCCCGGGCTTCAGCTCCGCGGACAACGGGGCGCTCCACGTGATGCTAATCAACGCGCTGGAGCTGGACGGCGCAGCGCAGGCGCCTCGATTTCGCCGCGATTTCGCCGCGATCTCGGAGCGAGCTGGGTGGGTGGGGTGGGTGGGTGGGGAGGGTTGGAGCATTTTAGTGGTAAACAACAAGTTGCTAGACTTTTTTTGGCCCATGCACTCAGGAAGATTTGGTCGATCGGAGCCACTGCTATGGAGGGATCCTGGATGGGCCTGGATGGCATGGTTTTAACCTAGGGCTTTAGGTTGCCATTTTCTGTGATACTATTCAAAGATCTTGTAGGTGATAAAGTAGCCATAGGAATGAAACATGTGGGTATCACAGAAAGGGCTGGGGCGGGCGGCCCAAAAACAACAGAAAGGGCCATCTCACACAACCATGCGCAAGGGCCCTACTACACTAAATTACGGCCTTGGGTGGCAACCTAATGCACGAGTGGCAGACATTGGGATGGGGCTGGGTTTACTGTGACTGGAAAAAACGTGTGTGTGTGTGTGCGCTAGGGGGCCCTGCAAATCAGTTGACTGCGTGTCCCATTTCCAAGCTGTCCAAGAAACCTAAGGGAGGGAAGCTCAAGGAAATGGGGGCCCTCATATTTTTGCCACGTGCAAAAGGGGTAGAGAGGGGGTATCATATCCGAGGGCACTGGAACTGCCAATGAAACTGCAATTTTCGGCATTCGCCTGCCCCTTTGCTGGTAATTCTTCACAAGAGCCCCCTCCAAAGGAAAAGTTGAAAGAACGCGACAGCTGTGCGGCTGGCTTTAAGCATGGAGCGTGTTTACACTTTCAAAGCGCTACCCCATTGCAAGCGGGAAATCCAGCTCGGCCCAGGTCACTGAGTTGTACACCAACCTCACTGAGACTCAGCTGCAGCTTCCGGCTGTCCCAGGTAGAACGAACTAAGTGCATAGCCTCACGAAGTGCGCAAGAGAGCCATGACCACCATACATGCAGCTTTGCCCCCTGGGGTTTGGCAGTTTCAAATCCCAAGGATGGCCCCACTCCCTGCTTATTTGTTTGTTTGGTTTGTTTGTTTGTTTGTTTGGTTGGTTGGCCTGCTATCTTGGGTTCCTCACTGAACACAGTCAAACACAAAGAGGGTTCCCTTCCGGGAGCAGGTTTCCAAGGCAGCCGAGTCATTGTACATGTTGGATGTCCCAACCGTCTCCCATCATTACTTCAGAGCTTCTCTCTTGACGTGCTGAGGCGACGGTGAATGACTTGGCTCCCTACTGGAGCTTTGTGCGTGCTGCGCAGAAAGCGGCTTGGCCCATTCGGGGGAAGCCCTTGATGCTACTTCTTTTGCCGGCCTGTTGTTTTCATAGGCTTCCCTTTTGTTGGTTTGGTCTTGTGGGTTTGGAGGATAGGGTTCGCGTTTACCCTCAACCAAGTTATTGAGCAGTGATCCATATCAGCCACACGGCGCCCAGTTTGTCTCACTACACCATACTCCCCGCATGACTGCTTCCTCCAGGCGTGTTGTGCGCGAGTCCCCCCAACCCAACCTCCCAATTTAGTCATCAGAGCTATGCAACCACAGCAATCCAACCTCCCGCCCCCCAACTCCAGCCCTCCCAAAACCCCCTGTTTTCTCAAGAAACAGAACCCAACCCCCCGCCAACCCAACCAGCCCCCAAACCCAACCCACAACCCAACCCCAACCCAACCGTTGACCCCCAGCCCAACCCCCAGCCCAACCCACCCAAAACCAAAACCCCAACCCAAAAACCCAGCCCCCCCAACTCAACCCCCCGACCCAAACAACCCAATAAACCAAATACTCCCCAACCCAACCCCCAACCCAACCGCCAACCCAACCCAACACCTCCCAACCCAACCCAACCCAACCCAACCCAAAACCCAACCCAACCCAACCCAACCCAACCCAACCCAACCCAACCCACCCACCCACCCACCCACCCACCCAAAAAACCAACCCCCCAACCCAACCACCCAAAAATCACCCCTCCCAGCCCAACCCCCAACCAGAATCTCCAACCCACCCTACAATCACAACCCACCCAAAAATCCACTCTAAGACCTACCCAAAAACCAGAACCCAAACCGCAACCCAACCCAACCCAACCCAACCCAACCCAACCCCACCCCACCCCCAACCCACCCCACCCCACCCCACCCCACCCCACCCCACCCCACCCACCCAAACCCCCCTCACCCAGAACCCAAACCTAACGTTTTCGCACGTCGGAGACGAGGTGCTGGGCCCGCCTCGCACCTGGAGCCTCACCAGCACCGCCTTCGGGCGACGCCACGGGTGTCTCTGGCGCAGCTGCGAGCTCGCGGTGTGGCCCAGGCGACGAGCGACGCGCCGCGACGCGTAGCGATGGCGAGATCGTCATGTTGGCTGATCACGGTTTTATTTTGGTATGGGTCAAAATGAAACCACGGGACCGCAGGTTTTAGTCCTTGGTTCCATTTACCAGGGCTCCATTTTGGGTACCCATTTTGACCCACAGCCATTTGCTTGGTCTGGCTCCCAGCCGTCCGGTTCCTTAGCCTTTTCGCTTTTTGGTGCTTAGTGGTAGTTTCCATTTCCCACTAAAAGTTAAACTTTTAGCGGGGGATCTGGGGGCAGCCCAGTTTGCTTAAGAACATTTATCACTGGACATATTTTTGCACATGTTTCCTGGGGACGTATTCGCTGGTTACATTTTGCATGATTTCTCGATCACTCCCAGTGCTTCCAGTTGTCGCTTCCAGGTTCAAACTGGTTACTATAGCCAGTGGTGAACTATCATGGTCTTTCCTGGCTTTCTCTGGAAGCACTGGGACTGGGTTCCTTTTGGCCCCATATTTTTCAATCAGCCAGTTTATGAATAGGTGTGCCTGGAATTAGTGGGGGTTCATTACTTTCGGAGGGGAACACCACCTGTTAAAATAGGGGGTGTATTAAAATGGGGTCAACATTATTTTTCTTGGGTCCCAGCGAATCGTCCAGGGTTATTGTAGCAGATTTGTATGCCCGGGTTATTTCATAGGAGGGTGTCCCATGTTGGGATCACTTTTTCGGACACGTCCTCTGATTACGTCAATCCGGGGTCAACAATTACTCCAGAGACACGGCAGCTACGTTATTGGTCATGATTATAAAGGTCCTTTCAGGGAATACCCTCCTGTCCACTCCTGTCCACCAACATGGCACAGAGGGTCCCTTTAAAAGGAAAATAAATCTTCTAGGACCCTGAAACGTCAGCTTCCACATTAGGCAGGGTATTTGTAAGGGCGAACTGCGTTCCAGGTTGGTTTAAGTAATTAGGGTCACTCCCTACCCCGAAAATCGGGCATTCGATTTTTTTTTGTTCCAACAGACGCCAAGATCGTTTTTTCTTGGACTTCTTTCTTTTTGGCTGGATGTATCTACGGGGAAACCACTGCAACCCAACCGTGGGTCATGATGTCACTTTCTAATTGCAAAACTGCGAACGTTCCCTCCTGGCAAATCGGAGACAGCCCCCTAAAACCCAACATGTTTCTCCTTTGCTCCCCTTGAAAACCCCCCAACACGCGCTCCCTGAATTCCTGGACTTCATACAGTCCTTTTGGGCAAGACCACTTTTTGTCGCAAACACAAGGTTTGGACTTGGGGCAAATATGCTCAGGAAGTGAGAACAGGTTAGGGTGTGTCTTTGTTCAGAGGGCGTTTTCCTTTTGGCGTTCGTTTACAAGGTCTCCCCCGGAAAAATACATCAAACATAAGACATGTGATTTCCTCTGCGGGTTTTTCTGCAAACGCCACAACACGGGGTACCCGCAAAAATGCACGAGCACTCGGTTCCTCCTTGACTTGGTCAGGATGAGCTTCTTCGTGGATGACGGGGTCTACCTTGAGCAGAAGGCCAGTGGCTTGGTGGGACCCATCATGCACCATGGCATCAAGGATGCCAAGACTGTTGAACCTCATTACTTCCAGATCCTCGGCCGAAGTTGAATGCTGTTGCCATGGTTTTAGTTTATGTTGTGTCTTTCGCTGGTTCTGTTCAGTTTTATCAGGGGCTGCATTACTTGCGGATCCTCGGCTTAAGTTTACCCTGAATTTCTCAAGCTGTCCGCTTCTTGCTTGTACAGCGGGGAATCACAGGTGCCCGAATGATGGTTTGAACGCGCTTTTTGTGCTTTTGTTCTTTTGAAAGTTTTCACTTGTTTGGAACATCTTGCAGCTGCAAAACGAAACTCTTCGATACCCTTCGATAATCTTCGACACCCTCGAATTGTTCTTTTGCAGGCGTTGCCAAAAGGATTTTCGAGATACATGAAGCAGGTGCCTTTTGGATGTATATTTTGGGGGTTAACCAAGATCCCTTGATCAACAACTGTGTTGGAGGCACTTTCAGCAGGGATGGTTTTCCTTCAGCTCTCCATACATCAACCCCAAAAAGGGCACCCTGAAAAATATGTTTATACATACATGTGGTAATATAATATATATGTATATATATTCACATCTACATGAGTTATATACCTGGACCTTCAAACTCCAGGGTTTTGTTGTGTTTAGGAGACCCCTACGATTCACCGAATTTCAGTGGTTTAGCTACAATTTAGGCGAAAACAAACACATAGAATTGCGTCATTCCAGTTGCGCATTGGCCATACAAAGTAAAGCACCTCGCAGCACTTGCCAACGTGCCAGTGAACACCATGGGATGCCTTGATCATCAAAACTACGACGTTTTCTGATTTGCGGGCGTTTGCGGGTTTTTGCCGGATATTTGCGGACATTTGAGGGCGTTGTGCGGTCAAAATCGGTACGTTTTTTCTGCACCACACAAGTTTGGACCACCGTTGCATGTTTTGATAAACTTGCGGGCTGCATTAAATCATTTACGCCTGCAAAGCTTCCTTTAATTGTCAAAGGTGGCGAGCATTGCATTTTTTTTTAGCTTTAGGAGTTTCAGGTTTTTGCGGCCAAAAGTGCTACGACTTCCCGAATATCCAGTCAAAGGCGGAAGCTATTTTTTTTAAAGTTTTTTTTCAGGAGGACAAAGGTGCAGTTAAGTATGGATCAAACTATACACCATGTATTATATTATGTCCATACAAGCTCCTCGCGCCGAGGAGCGTGTGGTCATGCATGATCAACGCCCCGGAGGCCTTAGTGGATGCCTCCAGCATGGGCCAGGTGGCGTGGCGGGTGGCCGCCCCTCGGACGAGAGCGAATCGACTGGGTGGCTTCGCCCGTGTTGTCATGGCGCGAAGAAATCCAAGCCCAGTGGCCCAGTGGCGACGATTTTTCCGACTTTGATTTGGGAGTGGTGCCCTTTGTTCCTTTTTTTGGGAACGGTTTCCTTTAAACTCAACTAACCCAAAACGGATGTCCTTTTTTCCCCATGGCCACCGGGCATCTGAGCAAAGAAACCGAGAACTAGCCAAAGAAACAAGGAAATTCATCAAGGCGGTGTCCGAATCTGGCTAGCAAAACCCCAAAGGAACATAGAAGAAGCCAGCAAAAAGGCAAACAACAGTTTAAAAGTAAAGAAACAAGAAACACAAGGACAGTTTGTTGTCATCAATACCAAAAAAGCAGAAAGACTCCAACTTCGAGGTTGGCTACCCCGAGCTCTACCCCCAGGGCTCCGGGTGCATTGGCCCGCAGTGCGCCGAAGCCTGCGCGCCTCGGCCGAGGCGGTGTTTTTTTGCCATAGCCTACTGTGGATGGACGAAATTCGTTTCGCACCACCTAAGCTTCCACTTGCTTAAGAATATTTTATGTGTCCCCTGTTTGTTTTAAAGGGAATCTATCACTACTGGAAATATTTTTCATTTTTTCCAGGCGTCTGGCTTTCTCATGTCTTCAACGTGGTGCGAAATGGATTTCGTCCATCCACAGTAGGAGCCCCAAGAGGACCCGAAATATGAGTCGGCCTTGGGCCCCCTTGCGGCTCCAAACGATGGTCGAAAATGAAACCATGGTTGAAACCATGGCTGGTTGGGTTATTATCTTTGGGGAACCATGCAGGGTCGCTTAGCTGGTGCGAAATGAATTTCGTCCATACACAGGATGGGGTTTGGCCCCCTTTGCGGCGTCAGGTTTTCTAGAATCGGTCCAAGGGGCTACCGGAAGAATCTAGATGAAAGATTCGGTCAGGGAGGGAGCAACTGGGGACCTTTCTCACTGAGCGCTGAGTTTGAGGATTTAGTTCGGGTTTTTCGGTCGAACCAAAAATCAAAAAGCACAGCCCCTCGCATTCGGATCCTGCGACTCGAGGTCTCAAACTTCACCTGTTCGCCGCTGGGGGACTTCGATGAGCCTCTGATGCGCCAGTGGCAGCGGGACTACAAGTACTTCTTGGCCCATCGCCTCGGAAGTCGGAGTCCAACCAATCGCTTGCGGCAGTTGGTGGGGTCGTGTTTTCCCTTGTTGGGTTTAAAGGGAAACGATGTCACCACTGAACAATCTGCTGAAATGACTTTGAAGAAAAGCAAACAAAAACATCGATTTCACCACTGGAACTATTTTTCCAGGGGGCGAACAGGCAAGTGGAAGCAACCAAACACGGGAGGAGAGCGAAAATCGATTCTCAACTTTTGTTGGGCTGTTCTTAGGGCATCGCAGTTCGGAGTTCAGAGATGTTGTTCTCGTGCGCTTTTGGAAAACGGAAAGGGACCGATAGCGTGTGTGCCAGTGGAATCCACAGGATTCGGCATCTGGATAGATAGCCGGCGATAGCCGGCTCGCAAAGCAAGCAGAATCACACAGGGCTCCTTAAAAGAAGTTCATTTTGCAACCATTGGAAACAGGTTGCTTTTTCAACACCAAAATACAGGGAAACCACCATTTACAAGTTGCAATGTCCAGGTGTATAATGTCAGGATCCCTGTCACATGACAGGGGAGATTCTGATGTTGGTATACAGCCACATCGCCAAAAGGCAAATAGATGTCTGGACGTGGGTGAGCGGAAACACCAGTGCGTGGCCATTTTAAACCAGAGTTTCGGTTGGAAGCATGGCGGGCATGCTTGAAACCAGTGGCGCCATGTTGCTCTTTTGGGTGGGTTTCCCTTCAAAAACAAGAGCCGCAAACGGAGGGGGCGCCCTTTTTGCACCGTTTTGCCTCTTTCAGGTGGTCCTTCGCCGGGTGCTGTGCTTTGCTCCTCGTTCGCAAGCGGCAAGCACTTGTCTCATAGTCCTCTTCCCGGCACAACCTCTCAGACTCAGATGGCCGTGGGTCAAAACCAATGATACCATTTTGGGATTGGTGCACCACCCATTTTAATAAAATCTATTTTAGTCGGGATTGGGATGTTCACTGGGGGTACAGGGTTTTGACCCACAGCCAGATGTGTGGTTGGGGGATTTGAACCCCTGGTTCTTGCATTGGATAAAGGGCAGCCACCGCTCAGCCTTCAAACCACCAATCCAAGCCACCTAAAACCAATTCGACATGCGGTTTCCCCCTCGTGTGCACATGAGATGCCGGGGTGGGTTCACTTTAAGGAAGTGAGCAAGAAGCTCACAGATTCCTGCAAGTGAAAGCTGGAGACAGCACGTTGCTCGCTCGCTCAGGGTTATACATGCACCGCAGATACCCTCCAACAGCACAAATCCCCTTCCGCCGGGCTGTGCTCGGCAATCCGCCGCGTGCTTCCTTTGGTGGTTTTCCAGCTGGGGTGGTGGAAGATGGCCATGTGTTCGTTTAGCCTGCGTGTACACTCGGGTACGTAGGAGGCAAACCAAGTTCCAGGAGCAGGTCGCAACAACCGGAAAATAGAAATCAGACTTGAACTCCTGGTGTTTGTAATGTCAACCCCCTTTTCGGGGGATGCATGACTTTCGGAAAACTCACTTCCTGAGTTCTTGAACTTTAGTCACTTTCTGGTGTTAAACCAACTGTTTAGGTGCTCGTTTCATTTGCAATCTCGAGAAGTGAGTGACGGGTTTAATCCTGAGTCACCTCCGCGTCAGTGGACACCCCAAACCTCCCAGCCGTTTGGAGCAGGGTGGGATCACTCGGGGTGAATGAACATTTCTCCACCCACAGCAAGGGAATCTCCCCTGAAACATGCGGGGAATGGGGGTTGAACGTCTTTGGGAAGCCAATCCTCTCTCTGCTGCTGTTGCCTTGGATCGTTAGACTCTAACTTTTTGGATTCCCCTCATGTTTCCTTTTAACCAGCGAAAAGTTATTTTTTTTTTTGCTGGGGGGATCTACAGCACCCAAGCTCTTTAGGAAGTCACGGATCCCATGGACTCCAAATGGATTCCAACCGCGACCCAGCCGACTTAAGCCAAGGCGCTGGCCTCCGTCGTGGTGCTGGGGGCAACCTGCGCCCTGGTGAGGCTCGAGCCATGCGCCTGGGACCAGCCGAGAGAGAGAGATATATATATATATATGTTTTTTTGGGGGGGATAAATCTCCATACCTGGAGCCTCCATGCCTTTAAAGACGAAACAAAATGGTTGGTCATTACCCAAAATAATGGGGTCATGGACCGATGTTTGGGGTCATGGAGAGTCTAGGCTAGACAGTCTAGGTACATACCTAGGCACCCAATGTGCCCTTTTGTTTAAGGGGAACGAGAAACAAAACGCGCGGATGACCGGTTTCTGCCCGACCCCCCCCCAAAAAGAAGAAGAAAAAAACGCTCGCCCCCCCGAAAGAATGCGCGACCAAATCCCCTTCTTCCAGCCAGAGGAAGGCGGGCATTGTCCCGTGTTTGTTTTGGTTTCAATTGCGCTCGTTTTGCGGATATTTGCGCTTGTTTTGCACTTTGATTTCTCCTCGCTCCTTTCGAAAGTTCAGCGACTGATCATCTTGGAGGAACGACCAGCCCGGTTTCGGGAAAAACGTTCGAAGCAGGACAAAGTGTACGTTTACCATGTTTACCCATAGTTTGGTGACGACCCCTTGGTTTTGAAACACGTTTGGGCCAAAGGCAGAAATTTAGGCAACGAAGGGTGCTCCAGGCATGGTTATATATATATGTATAAAAATGCATATGTTACAGCCATGAAAATAGATATTCTACATTTACCTGCAAATATTTTAGATTTGACGTATTTATTTAGTGAGTTATCTTGTTTACGTAATTGCTCATTTTATACCTATATTGTTACACATATGTTCTGCATTCATTAGCAGATAGCACCAGCCAATGTTTCCACTCTTGGTGGGGAAACTCCCAGTGACACCTGACAAGGACTGTGGGTCCTGCGGCCGATTTCCTGCAAGGTGCACATTGGCTGGCCACCCTTTTCACAGTCGGAACCTGACGTCAGGCAGACCCGGTCCCTTTGAAAGGACACTGGTCCCGAACGTCAGGCTTCATGTGTTAGTTGGTGGGAGGGTAGATAGTGGATACTTTGCCGATTTCAACCAATGAATCCGGGTTCATGCAAAGGGTTTTTATATATATATATATATGTATATACATTATACATATATGTGAATATGAATTCATCCATTCCCGTATCTTCCCTTATGGGTTGGGTCTTCCCACCTATCTTGGCTTCTCGAGCTGATGGGGAACCCCAGGTTTCTTTTGGGTGCTTCTCTAAGTTCCGGACACCTCCAGAGGCGGGTATTCCTCCTCTTCAAAAAGCATTCGAAAAGGCCTTCCCTACTTTGGGTCGGGCTCACCCGTCCTTGGAAGAGTAGGCCCCCACTCCGCCTGCTTTGCTTGACTGCTATTGGGTTGGATCTTTAGACTTCAACTTTTTGGGAAATCAATAAGTTTTCCACTAAACCCCCAAGTTTGGTGGTTTGAGAGACGCAAACAGCTGCCGCGAGCTGCTTCCAGCCCAGGCAATGAGCGGAAGCTCCAGCCGGAGGGCGACGACCTGTGATGAGTTCAGAGGGCGGGAATATGGCTGTGGGTCAAAAATCGGTACCCCAAATGGAAGTAAGTGGACACATGGACTAAAACCTGCGGTCACCTGGTGGTTTCATTTTGGCCCATGCCCATATGGGAGGCCAAAATGCCCGGTCGATGGCCAACGGCAGCAGAGGAAACAGCTGGCTGAGTGCGGCGAGTCAGGTGCGAGGTTGATGGGTTGCGGTTGTGTGCAAATGAGGGGCGTCTGTTGTTAGCGACTTGGTGGGATAGTTTGCATGGGGCTGCCTTGCAAGTGTATGATGCCCTTGCAGCGGTCAGCGACAAACACGGGCCAGAGCAAACCTCGCAGGATGGCTGACATAGCAGACATGTTTGACCCTCAGCCTTGGGCATTTCAGCGGGGGAAACAAGACTTCACTGGCCACTGCCACACTCCTCCCTTTTCAGCCGTGCCCTTTGGGGGGGTTTTGGGGTTTTGCGAACACCAGCCCGATGGTCTACAAGGAGGGGGATGGCCAGACTGCGCCCAGCGTGGTTTCGTTGAAGACCTGCGACTTTCTGCAGATCAACGGGCAGGAGGCCGGTGATGCGATTCCGCGTAGTTTCCTTCGCTTGTTCTGGCTTCAACAGGATGTGTGTGTGTGTCAAAATTGGGGTGCCCCAAGAAATGTGTTTCTTCCTGTGTCCCTTCAAGCCAGCTTTCAAGATGGGTACCATCAAACGACAGCCCCGAGTAGGTGCGTAAGCCGTCGGAGCAGTTCGGCCCGTGCATTCAGAACCAGAGGATTGTGGACATTTTATTGTCCTCAATCACATAGCTCCCCTTTCTGCGGTTCTTTTTGTTGGAAAGCCGATTTGCGTGGCAATTTGCGCACACGTTTGGTTCCGGATCTGCGTGGCAGGGGCGTTCCTTCAAAAGGAAAGCCGCCTTCAAATCCTCGATCGCCATGCGTATAACCGCCCGCAGGTGGGCTGTGTGCAAGCGGAATGGTCCGGCCGGGTACTGAAGCGTAAGAAGCAGGAGGCGGGGACAGGAGCGACCAAGGTGTTGCTTCGCAAGATCCTTCCACATGGTACTCAGTCGTTTCTGCTCTTTTTTTCTTTTTCTGACGTCCAATTGTAGAATAGGATCCCCCAGTTTGAACACCGAAACATGGAACTGCATGGGAGGCTCGGGCAAATAGGAACAAGGCTGGTGAATGAACCGCACCGCTTTGGTCTTACCTCCTGCGCGGCCTCAAGCTCGATACCAGGCGTGTGCACCAGGATCCTATGGCTTGGACCCATTGAAGCCATTGCCATGGGCCTCTCGGTGATTGGTGAGTTCATGCCAGGAGGGGCTTCATGTACGGACAAATGACCAACTACAGCAAAACCCAGGCGGCCCACCCAATTGTCCCACGTCCTGAGGGCAAACAAGAGTTTGTTTTCGCCCGTGGCTCAGATAGATTACATTTCCACTTGGTTGGTTCGCTTCCCGAGTTTTTGAGCCTTACCTTTTTTGGGACAATCATATTCTAGTGGAAAAGAACACACGCATTGTAGCGGAGAACAGGAAACAGCTGAGCTTCTCTTGGCAACTCACTTTGGAGGTGAGTGGCTTCCGAGTGCCCAGAATTCTTGGTGGTTCCCAGCCGTCCCCTTAGGTTTTTTGAGCTTGCTAGTGTTTGTCGGGGTTGGATCTCCATTTGCATCCATTTGCCCCGCAAGCTGTCGACAACTTTGAGGGGATCTGAAAGCGGACAGCCCATTCCTTGGCTGTCCGAGACAACCATTCATAGTGGGAAACGCGTAAAAAAAAAACAAACAATCCAAACGTATCTTGCCAACTCACTTTGGACCTGAGTAGCTGCCGGATGCTTCCAGATGTGGCCAGTTGGTCCTCTAGCGCCAGGTGGGCGTCCTCTGTGAGGCGCCGATCCACTTCGAGGCACAGAACGCCGCGGGGGCCAGCACCTGGAAGGCGGCGGAGGGCAAGATTGTGGTGGCCCAGCGAGGGGACGAGGAGCCGCGCCGCCTCGCTCCCAACCAGTTTGGCGTTTTTTGTTTTGTTTTTTTTGTTTTTTCTCGGCGGGAGTTCCCCTTCTATTTGCTGAAAAGAAGAGTTTTTTTCCTGAGATGAACATGTGTGATTTTCCATTGAATGTGTTTATTTCTTCCAGGGGGCGAAGAAGCAAATGGAAGCTCAAGGATCCAATTTCAGCTTCCCTCTAATTGGCGGTTTGGAGCCCGGTGGTTTGTGGTTAATTTGCCCTGTTCAAATCCCCAGTTACCACCAATCCGAACCGATCAGGTGGATGAAGGAAAGTTCCCGGGCTTTGTTCGGACTTTTTTTGACCAATCCACGCAGGGAGTAAAGCGATCTGTTTGTCGATGTGCTTTTCTTCTTTTTCTGCGTGAGGAACCACCGCATGCAGGGTTAGTTTGAACATGCTCCGAACCTTAAACAGATGACCAAACTGCAATGGTCGAAACAAGTTGGCTTGGTTTTGTTTGGTTTCCGTTTGGTTTCCGTTCACCCTGGACAACATTTGCCCAGGCTGTGTTTGTTTGAAACAACTCTGAACTAGGAACCAGACGTCCTTTTTTTGCGGGCACCCTTCGATTGGTTGGTTGGACGGAGCACAAGGACTCAGGGTATCCGCTTGACAGAAACCTGAGCACCTGTTTGAACCCCCTTCGCGAGGCCATTACTGGTGAAGCTTGATGTCTGTTTTGGCCACAGTAAATGAGGGATGGAGTGCTACCAATATTGCATAAACAACCATCAGATGTTGCAGATAAATGGCCCCGAATCGGAAATCAAAGACATCCCGAAAACAACAACGACGTTTCACCTTGGTTGGATCTTTGGACTTTAACTTTATTGAAAACAGCGGGATTTCCATTGGACCCACAAAAGCTTAAGCTTTTTGCAGATGTCCACAATCCCAAGTCCAAAAAGAAGCAGGGGCTCCTCTATTTGGTGTGTATTGTTGGGGCGGGGTGCCAAGATGGCTCGGCTTTCCATTTAGCTTTCGTTTACCACACACTTGACTAGTGGGGGAGTCCCTTTTTGGAAAAGGTCACCGGTTGCATGTTTCTGGGGCCCGGGGTTGGCCCTGTTTGGCATTTTTCCAAAGGCCTTATTTCGCATTTGGCCTTGCGCCCCGGCTTGGGCCCCGGATCCACGCGCCGCCTCGCACCTCGCCCCGAGCGAGCGAGAGAGGAGTTCGACGCCATGGCGCGGCGGGCGGAGACTTCGGGGGCGGTGGGCCTGGTGGTGGTGGATAGCCACGAGACCTTCGAGGACGACTTCGAGATGGCCGCGGAGGACGTTACACCGAAACCGAAACCGGAACGAAAGACGAGGAGGAGGTTTTTTGTTTTGGTTGGTTTGGCCTGGTTTGGCTGTTTTTCTGCTTTGGTGGTTTCGTGTTCTTTTACTCAGGTGTGCACCCCTTCAGAATTGGTGGTGGGCGTGTGTTGGTTTGTGTTTGACTCAGGTACCCCTTAATTGGCTTGTTAGATTTGCGATTCGGGGGTTGAAATCCCCGGTTCTTGTAGAGGATTCAGTAGATTCAATAGGAAGCCGCCCGACCTTACGCCCCTCCAAAGCAGCAATTCGGCTGCAAATCACCAGCGGTCTCTGATCGGTTGCAGCATGTTGCAGCCCGGTTTCAAAGGCGTCGGGCCCAAATTGCTCTTCCTTGGTGAGGAACTCTTAGTTGGTTTGGATTTGCGGCTGGATTTGAACGCAAAGGGTAAATTGGAACCCGGCACCTGACTAAACCACATGAAACCACTAAACATCACTAAACCAATCAGGACGCGTATTAATGTGGGCCTCGATTCTGAGAGGTTCTTGAAAATCGTTTTGAGAGATTAGTCTATCATTAGGTACATTGGAGTTTGTCACTTGAATGGACGCGAAAGAACCCAGCAGTGTGGCAATTTCTTTTGTTGAACGGACCCCCCCCCCTTTTGGAGCTCTTTGAAGGGAAGGCAAATGAAAACTCTGGAGCCCATCCATCTCTGGGTTGAGGCGCTGGGAAACGCTCTCGCAAGGGCGAAAGAAGGCTGCAGCCCATGAAACATCATATCTGGCCACATCACAAAACCACGCAAGGGATGTTCCACATAGCTTTTCTCAAACCCCCGCCCCTGTCGCTTCCACCCTGCACCTGGTGAAAATAAGTTTTGTAGTGTGAATACCTCAAGGTTATACTTAGACTACTCTTGGTGAAGCGCTATTGTTTGGTGGATGTGCTTGTTTTGTCCGTGGTGGTACTTTTCCTAGCGTCCTTTTGAGAGATGGGCGCATCCACAAAATCCTCACCATTCCAATCTGTTTTCTGAACCTCGGGAATTCCAGGGGTTTTGGCGAGCCCGGATCCGGATCGAGCCCTACGCTTGGCAGCTATGGTTCAGTTTGTGTTTTTCAACTCATTTCTCACGAGCCCTCAAGAGAGTTCAAACGTCACCAGGGAGATGGTCCCTTGAGAATGGTCCAAAGGGCTGTTCCACATTCCCCCTTTTGCTGGTAATGGCTATGAATTTTAATAAGGAACCAATTCACAAGTGGTTGGTGGACATGAATCCCCACCTTCCCCAAAGGGCCCCTATTAGAATTCACACCGATATACCCTTTTGCCTGCCAATTTCACATGATTTTCCTTTTGGCTTAGGACCGTTACGGACCCTCGGGCCATTTCCCAGAAAGTGACCGCCTGAAACGAGCAACGGATCGGGTGTTACGCAAGTCGGACTGCAAGTCGGCGTCCGTTGTTGGCTTGCAACATCCCAAAAGGGCCCCCCCGGGTGTGCCTTTCTTTAGGGAACCCAGCCAAATGGCATCGATGTTCCCTTCCTAGAGAGGATCAAGTCCCCCCCTTAAGAAGAAATACTGTTTTTTTTTTTTTTTTTTTTTTTTTTTTTTTTTTTAATAAGTAATAATGATAACAATAATAATGAAATTCAGGACTCAGGACCGTGGAATCCCTTGAAGACCTCAAGGCCCACCCCGGGTGCCTTCAAAACACGAGCCCCAAGGCCCCCAAGCCCATCGCCAGGACCCCCGGCGTCCGCCCCCGGTGCCGGCGGTGTTGGTGCCCAAGAGCTGGCAGCCCATGCTGCGCAGCGGAGAAGCGGCCACCATGGTAAGGAGGCGCCCGTTTTTTTTTTTTTGTTGGTGTCTTTCTCTTTTTGTTTAAAGAAAAACATGTTTTGTGCGTATGTGTACGTATGTTCTCGTTGTTGTTTTCCTATATATATATATATTTGCCCGCCTTTCGTTGAAAAAAAGGTTCCCAGCGCTTCTCATAAAGAAAAAAGAAGGAACACACGATTCCCAGTGCCCCTCCGGAGAAAAAGGTAAACTCAATTCCCAGTGCCCCTCCGAAAAAATGAATAGATAAATAAGAAACAATCAAACGCAGATCTGCTGGAAGGAAGGACTCCTGGAAAGAATGGGGAAGGTACCCCTAGAACAACGCGGAAGTGGAGCCAAATTGATGTGCCGAGTGCCAGGGCCTTTGGCTGCTAGTTGGACAGAGGGAGGGCCCCCCCAGTGGAAACCTTGGGCCTAAATATTGTCCACATGAATTGTCATGTTTTCCTGCTGAAGACGCACGCGCGGCTATAATATATATATATATATATACACATATACGTATGTGTATGTTTTTGTATATTTCTATTTATTATTGCCGGGTGCTGGATGGCACATGAGCGCGTTTCGCGTGCGTGTGTTCAATAGTCTTTTGAATGTGGATTTCCGCTGTTATTTCCTGTTTCAGCTGGCAGGACGTTATGGGGATAGGTTTTGCAGCAACACACATACATATGTGCATATAGATGGGAAACAATACACAACACTAGGGATTCAACTATATTTGAAGCTACAGCTGGCAGGACGTTATGGGGATAGGTTTTGCAGCAACACACATACATATGTGCATATAGATGGGAAACAATACACAACACTAGGGATTCAACTATATTTGAAGCTACACACGGTTATTTTGATTGCATACGACATGAGAGATAGCAAAGTTTAGATGAAGCATGTTTCAAAGTATCGTGCTTATGTAGGTTTGCATGGAATTGTGCAGGGTTTCCGGGCAGGAGTGGAGGGGCCGGTGGTGCAATCCGTCTTTCTTCTTTTTCCGGGGCTTGATCCGTATGAAATCCGCGGCGTTAATGGGGTGCATGTGGACTTCTCAAAACGGATGTGGGCAATTCAATTCGCTGCAATTTACCTCTTTGCTTGGAGCAATCCACTGCTTCGTGGGCTTGTCTCGCAATGCTGGCAATTCAGCGTCGGTTTTCTTTTGCTTCCCTTCAGCACCATCCCACAAAGGGCACCTTCAACCGAGCCTTTCGATGAGTGACACGAAGTCGATCAGCTGCCACGGGGTGACAAGGGTAGCCCTGCCCTGACTCTAACCACATTCGCTTCAACCGACTAGCGTGGCCTTGTACAGGTTCCATCCAGGAGACAAACCATACGTATGTGTTGGTATATGCCAAAAGCGAAGGCCTCGAAGCCAAACGGCAACTTTTGCCGTTCCTGGAAGTTGCTCGGGGTCAACCCTGAGGGAACTTAAAAACGATAGATGTTTCGTCCCCCTAAAGACCACAAAGGGGCTGGAGAACTGTTATTTGCCAGAAGCCTCAGCCCCAGAATGGTCTTATGGAGCCCGATTGATCAGCAAATCAACCACCGACTGAGCCCTCAAGGGCTTAGGAGCTGATCTTAGGGGCCTGAAAACCCCGAGCTTGCCGCTTGGTTTTGGATTGGTGGTTTTGGGGCGTTGGACGCCTGGTTCCTGTGCAAGGTACATGTGAAGAACCTTCAAGCCACCAATCAACGCCAGAGGGAAGCTGATAAACCGCACCTGGAGTCTCCTTCTGACCCTCCCAAAAATGTGGTTATGGCCAAAATCTTTCTTTTGGGTAAGCAACCAAACCCAAAAGAAAGATTCGGGTCATGACCCCATTTTTAAAGGGTCAGAAGGAGACTCTAGGTAGATCTTTCTTTGGGGTAACCAACCAACAACAACAAAAAACTAGGTCGTCCATGAAACCACCAAGCCCAGCTTGCCTCGGTCAGGTACCAGCGCACTCCCTCCAAGGCGGACGCCCGGATGCTGCAGTTCCTGCGGCTGCGGGGCGTGGATGTGAGCCTCAAGGTCCAGTGAGTCGCGTGAGCGCGGGGGCGAAGTGGGTGCGATAGGTGGGGAATGTGGAGGCGTATTCAGCACCCCCATAAAAAGCAATAAAATAATAATGATAGTAAACATACACTGGGGTTTCAAAATATCCGGGATCAACATTACTTGCTCAGTAGGGAACGTGAAATGGAATGATCCCAGGCTTTGAAAGGTCCCCGAACGGAAACCGAAAGCCCGTTGGATGGTTTATCTCGGGATATCTCGGAGTCATTCCATTTCTCATTTGAGCACCAGCAAGTCTTTAGCTGACCCCGGATTAAGCAGAACCGGTGGTTGATCAAAAGGGGCCTCAAGTGATGAATCCCCACTAGGGGCTCATCTCGAGCAAACTCAGAGGTTCTGCTTAATCCGGGGAAATTCCCATTACCAACCAGAGGCCTTGGGGAAATCAACAGCTTGTCTCAGTAACTACACGAGACGCGATGGCAGGAAGCGATTGTCTAATCAACTCACATGTCGATTGGCTATGCGCGAAGTTGGGTGGACAGGCACCCGCGTTGTTCTTTAAAGGCTAGCGGAGAGGCCAAAACAGGGCGGTGCTCGGCTGGGCGGTTGACGTTGCGCACGACCGGCTTTGGTGACCATCCCAGAGTGAAGTGGGTCACTGTGCACCCTTTTTGCTGGGATCCAGATGCGAAACCAAAAGAAAGCCGACCATTTTTGCGGGGTCCCGCATTTTGAGACTCTCCCAAGTCACAAATGTCAGGGGTGGATTCTTGTTGCAACCACTGATTTTGGACAGTCATCCAGGCAACCCCCAACATAGCTTCATGCGATGCTGTCGGGCTCCAGCTTACGGCAAGATGATGGCAAGATGTGGTTTAAGATGTGCATCATGCCGCAGCGGTTCTTGCTTTATCGTTGGGATCTCGCGCTTTTTGAGCCAAACCGGATTGTGACATTGTGGCCACCCCGCCAAGAAGTTAAATCCAGTCGTGTGACCTGCTAGTGGTACAGATGCGCAGATGTGCAGGCGCGGACTCCCGAGAGAGGGAGGGAGAGGGGAGGGCCAAACATGCTGTGGCGCGTTGAACTTCCTATTGAATTGACGCCAGGGTCCTTATTCGGTGGTAACGTCGCCCGTCGGCGGAAAACCCAATTGAGTGTGTCTTCGATAGGTGGTGTGACAAGGAGGAGAGTCCCCACACGAAATATTGAGAGCCTCCCATGACCCAGTCCTTCCCAAAGAGGAGGTTCAAGACGTCCAATGGTTTGCGTGCCACGATCGTCTCGGGACTGCGTGAGGCTAGCGGTTTTGTCGTCCATAGACTTCCATTTGCTTAAGATTATTGTTTTTTATTTTCCCCTGTTGGCTTTAAAGTTGGAATCGATTTCAGTACTGGAAATAGTTCTTCATTTTTTCCAGGGGTCGAAAAACCAAATGGAGGTAGAGCTTGAAGGTGGCCTCCAAAAAGGCGAGAGAGAGAGAGAGAGGTGGACCCGCTTGTGCCATGGGATGCTACTGTGGATTGACGAAAGCCAGAAATCGCATCACCGAAGAAACCCTGGAATGATTCGATTGGTCTCTCGTGGTTTCAAAGTGTTGCATGGTTTCGTTCATCCACAGTAATGTTGACCCAGGATTAACAAACCCGTCCCATTATTAGGGGGGGGTGTTCACTCCAAAAGTGATGAATCCCCACTAAAAGGGGACACCCCCCTATTAAGCAACCAGGGGGTTCATCAATCCGGGGTCAACATTTTGGGCCCCCGCTCGTGTTTCTATGCCGAGGGAGCCTTCCGGAGCGACGCAGGCTGCGGTGAATGGCCGGGGGTCCAAGGTCTTTCCCACAATTGGGACCGTCATTTTTCACTTCCCGAGTTGCTGGACTTTAAGCTTTTTGAGAAGACCATTTTGGACCAAAAAGTTTTGTCTGTTTTTGGCTAGTCCACTCAAGAAGTGAGTTTGATTAGCTATCCATAGTTGGTGGTTTGGAATGGTTTTGGGAGTTGAACCCTGTTTCCTTTCGAAACCAAATGGGGAAGGCACCTCCGGAGCACCTCCAAACCACAAATCCAAACCACAATTGGGGCTGAGGCTAAACTTGGCAGGTGTGTTATTTGTTTGCAGCTGTTGGTCCTAGTCATCCTGAGCGATGGACTGCAAGGAACAAAGTGTTTGGGTTGTTGGATGCTTGCCAGGGGGTGGCAAAAGCGAAGAAGCGACCATTTTCCGCGGTGTCCGATTGCTTTTTTCTTCTTTTGTTGAAAAATCCCAAAGGTGTCCATGGACAAGGGCAGCACAAGCCTTGAATTCCCTTGGCGGTCGGGGGCACGCGACGTTTGTTGCTCATTTGCGTGTTCAATATCAGCTCACCATCAGTCACGTTGGCGCCGAAACACTGTCGTGCAGATTGGAAGACTGTTCTTTGATCAAAGTACAGCTGCTGTGCCGCCAAGATCCGCCAAGGCTTCGATAGAATGGAGCGACTTGTACAGAGCTACGAACAGAGTCCCAGTTGCGCAGTGGCGTCTTTTTCATTTTTATTGGAATGTTTCTTTTTTTTTAACAACAAACAAACAAACTTAGTTGCACAAATCTGACCTTTTGTTCTCTGGATCTGTTGGTTTTCCCATATTGATCTGGTCCATGCTTACTCCTTTCGTCCCAGACGGTGAACCTTTGATTTCTGGGTCCAAGTCTGAGGAGACAACGCTCCGACGCCTGGCTACTTGTTCAACGACATTGTGCAGAATGTGTCCAACGCCAGTCCCTCTGAACTGCCCGCGGTGTCCCAGTACTTGATCGATTCTATGCTGGGTTGGATTTTCACCAGCACCCCCCAACAACTGCCTTTTCCCATATCCAAGTTCCCAAGCACCGTCCAAAAAGCAGTGGTTGGGACCCGGGTGCTGTTAACATGTTTAGCTTTGATGCTTTTGGCAAACTACTGTTTAACTTGTGTGAGTTCCTGACTTTGGGATCTAAGCTGCAACAAACTACCCTCCCACCAACATGGAAGTACGCAAGGCCCCTTTTTAAAAGCAAAGCAGTCTTTGTGCGCTTCCATGTTGCCCGGTGGGAGGGTAACACTTGCGGGCCGGGGGGGGCGGGAAACAAAACGCCAAGGATTGCGTGAATGGCGACCACGCCCACGTGAAGCTCAAAGCGTTGTTTGTGATCAAGACGCTGGCATACAGGAGTGGCAAACCCGGCCGGTTGTTTGACTCTCTGCCCACCTCTTGGCTTGTTTGAGTCTTTGAAAGTTGGGGAAACAAAATGCAGCTTGGGCACCAGAGACCTTCCTTCCTGACTTCCTTTGGTGGTCAGGGTCGGTCTCACTGCATCTGTTTTCCTGCATTTGGAATTGCCCTGCCCACTATCATGAAAAAAATCGCTCCCGGTTACCCCGATAAGTAACTTCCATTTGCTTAAGAATACGTGTTATTTTTCCTTTGTTTTGAAGGGAACCGATTTCACTACTGTAGTTTTTGATTTTCTCCCACGGGGCGAACAAGCAATAGAAGGCACCCTCCCACTAACTCACATAGAACCTGAAAGGAAGATGGTCTGCCAGGACCCCTTTGTCAGGTTCCAAATTATTTGGTGGGTAACCATTTTCCTTTTGGCTTTTTAACTCGGCTTGGGAACGCCACCCTGCCGAGTAGCAAGAACGAAGATGACCGTTTTCGCCGCTGCCGAACTTCTTCCTTTTCTGGACCTCCAAAAGTGGCGGCTTTTGGTTCGCGCCGGGTACATATTCACCGCACGTTTTTGTGCATGTCCTCGGAGCTCGTGCGTCTATTCTCAGGCAGTTTGACAAGCATGCATGTTTCTGGAATTGTGGGACATCCTGGCAACTAACTCAGATGAGCTGAATCTCAGGTCGGCATGTGCAGTTTTGGACATGGCTGTTACCCGGTGTGCTTATCATGTGCCACCGAGCGTGCAGCTATGTGAGACGTGATGCGCGTCATCGGGTGTGTTTATCATGTGCCAGCGTGCGTGGTGCGCGTGAGCGGGTGTGCTTGTCATGTGCCAAGGTGCGTGCAGCTCTGACATCATGCGCGTGAGCGATGTGTGCCTATCATGTGCCAGCGTGCGTACAACTCTGACGTGATGCGCTCAGACGTGATGTACGTGACGGGGTGTGCTTATCACGCGCCAACAAGCGTGCAGCTCTGACGCGGTGTGCGTGACAGGGTGTGCTTGTCATGTGCGAGCATGTGTTCTGACGTGATGCGTCTCGGCAGGTGTGCTTATCAGGTGTCGCGCAGCTCTGACGTGATGCAAGTGACAGGGTGTGGTTATCATGTGCCAGCGTGCGTGCATCTCTGACGTGAGGCGCGTGAGCGGGCGTGCTTATCATGTGCTAGAATGCGGGGAGGTAAATACCCGGCACCTTTTAGTTGGCACCCAGAAAACTTTTTGGAAGGGGAAACCGCAGTACATATATATATATATATATATTTATATACATATGCATGTTGTATACATACACATGCACCGGAGATGTAGCTAGTGGGACTTGTTTTGCCTTTTCTGCGGGCTCCCTTTTGACGCCTCCAGGATACCTCCCTTCCAGCAAGCTTTTCTGAACCAGGAGGGCTTGCAGGCGCGTGGCAACACTTGTTTCATCGAGGCAAGGGTTTAGGCGGGCCCCCCGAATTGGTTGCCGCTGCGTCCAATTGCGCGGGTGTGTGTGTTGTGTGTGGTGGGTATGTGTGTTTGTGTGTGTGTGTTTGTGAGTGTGTGTGTTTGTGTGTGTGTGTGTGTGTGTGTGTGTGTGTGTGTGTTTGTGTGTGTTTGTGTGTTTGTGTGTTTGTGTGTTTGTGTGTTTGTGTGTTTGTGTATTTGTGTGTTTGTGTGTTTGTGTGTTTGCGTATTTGCGTATTTGCGTGTTTGTGTGTTTGCGTGTTTGCGTGTTTGTGTGTTTGCGTGTTTGCGTGTTTGTGTGTTTGTGTGTTTCTGTGTTTCTGTGTTTGTCTGTTTGTCTGTTTGTCTGTTCGCGTGTTTGCGTGTTCGCGTGTTTGCGTGTTTGCGTGTTTGCGTGTTTGTGTGTTTGTGTGTTTGTGTCTTTGTGTGTTTGTGTGTTTGTGTGTTTTTGTGTTTGTCTGTTTGTGTGTTTGTGTGTTTGTGTGCTTGTTTGTTTGTTTCTTTGTTTCTTTGTTTCTTTGGTTTGTTTGTTTGCTTGTTTGCTTGTTTGTTTGTTTGTTTGTTTGTGCGTTTGTGCGTTTGTGCGTTTGTGCGTTTGCGCATTTGTGCGTGTGTGAGTGTGTGTGTGTGTGTGTGTGTGTGTGTGTGTGTGTGTGTGTGTGTGTGTGTGTGTGTGTGTGTGTGTGTGTGTGTGTGTGTGTGTGTGTGTGTGTTGTGTGTTGTGTGGGTGGGTGGGTGGGTGGGTGGGTGGGTGGGTGGGTGGGTGGGTGTGCGTGCGGTGCGTGCGTGCGTGCGTGCATGCGTGAGCTGGGTCCCAAATATCTCCCGCGTGGGGTTCCCCCGCGGCATTAAATCAACCACCGTTCGCCCGGTCCAGGTGGTGCAGGAGGCCTGCGTTTTCACCGGCCCGCCCTCGCCCATGTACGGGGACGAGCCATACCGCCTGGTGCGGGAGGCGGCTGAGGGCGCGAGAGAGGCCTTGACGGGGAGCGAGTTCTACCACCAGGACGAAATGAGGGGCCCGATCCGGGCCCGGCAAAAACAGATTGTGTCGGCAAAGGTCGGTTTTTTTTCTTTTTTTTTCTTCGTAGTACTCTCCCCCCCAAATGGTTGGTTGTCCTTTTGGTTTCCTTTTAACAACAAATGGACCTTTTTGGGCGTGTTGAACAGAGCACCAGAAAGTAAACAAAGTTGCCTTTCTTTTGCGGGGAAAAGGGTACATCCAAACCCTGGCGCCTTTTGTGAGGGTACCCTTTTTGGGTTGGCTTAAAGGGAAACAAATGGAAACGACCATTTTTTGGGGCCCCCCTATGTTAAGACACACTCAGATGGTCTGGAAGTTAACCAGGTTGCCAGTAAACCACGTCTCTGGGTTACCTAAGCTACCTATTTGTTCCAAAAATGTTGGCACCCATATATGGGTCTATCTTTCATTGGAGGTGACCCCCACAAAAATGATGGCGGTCATTCCCTCGTTCCCTGCACTTCTGAGAATTAGGAAGTCTAACAAAAACTCAATTAAAGGATACATTGCGGGTTGAACAAGTCACCTTTGCCAGCTGACTTAGAGGACACGTTTCGTGAAACTGGTTTTGGGTGTATTCTTCAAGGGAGCCTAAAAGAGCAGTGGACCTGAAAGCTATCAGTGAACTTTGGGTTGATCAGCTTTAGCTAGGCTCCAGACCATTTAAGGAAGAAATAGAAAGGGGAGAGAGTGTACCCCTAGAGGAACCGTTCCCCATGTCATGTCCGCGAACTACTCCGACAGCGACTCGCGCAGGAGTACAAGCAGCTCTCCCAGCGCATCGTTGGCTTTGGGAACTACGAGCCGCCCGAGGCCCGCTGCCGGCGGGCAAGCGGGCGCTTGCCCTGCCCTGATCAAACGTGGGCGCCGGGGCGTCTACTTCCAGACAATGGATATTTTGGATTTGCTGCCCGGGATTTCCAGAATCGTTTGGGTTTTAGGGTCTACCGGTCTAACCTTTGAACCCTGACGACAGTGAAATGGTCCCTTGAAAAAGGACAACCCCAAACGTCAGGTTCCGGAACCAGCCTCAAAAGTAGGGGGGGGCCAGCATGGATCCCTGGTACTCACTCCCTGAGTTCCTGGACTTTAAACTTTTTGGGAAGACCATTTTAGTGGTAAACAGAGAGTTCGGACTTTTTTTGGCCAGCCAACTTGGGAAGTGAGGCATGGATCCCTGGTAAATAGCAAAGTCTCAAACTTGCAGGCCCCGGGCTCTTGAATTGGCGAATTCCCAGATCTGAATTGGGGCCATTGGTTTGCCTCCAGGGGCCATTGGCTTGACGATGCCAAGGCTAGCACCCTACAGTTGCAACTGTGGATCCAAGTAAGCCTGGGGGCCTCCACGGTGAATCATTGGAGCCCGGTGACACGGAGGTCAGAAACTGGCATTGGCGAACCCCCCCCCATGGCGAACCCTCCCCCATGTTTGAACAGGCGATTTAGCATGGGGGTCTCAAACTTGACAGATGCGTTGGTCAATTTTTTTCGCACCGCGCCCAGACGCCGAGGCCCGGGCGTGGTGACGAGTTCATGCCGGGCCAAACACAAACCCCCAGACACCCAGAGGTGCCCTCGTTCTTTTCTCCCCGCTTTTCACGGGGCCCTCTTTAAGAAGGAATCCAGGACCTCGAGTTCCAAAAGGTCGTTCCATAGTGGGCATTGACTTACAACGAATATTTGCTATTGTGCAAAATGACCCTTTTTTTCCATTTTTTCCCATTCGTTTCCACCCAAAGAAAGAGGGATCCAGATTGAAGCAGCCTCCATCACGTGCTCCTGGAGCTTGACATGTTGGCGGCAGCCAACTTTTTTAAAAAAAAAAATGGCTAGTCCACTCAGTCCACTCAGTTTTTTTTGGCTAGTCCACTCAGGAAGTGAGGTCATGAGATATTTGCAAACCCTAAGGGTCATGAGTCACGACCCCTCCAATGCACACCGGGACCCGGACCCTCCACGACCTTTAAACTTTTGGGAAGACCATTTTAGTGGTAAATATAAAGTTTGGACTTTGTTTGGGCCATCCACTCAGCAAGTAAGACGGTGATTTGGTAGCGTTCGTTTAACACCTTAGACCGAACTCGTGGAGAAGCTCCAGGAATTCAGTCGGAACGAGGTTGCCCTATGACAATCTATTGACCAGGCCTGTACCCTCTGGTCCACCAACATGCAACCAGGGGTTCCCTTTTACAGGAACATAGCCGTCCGGGACCCCCCCTGTGAGGTTCCATGTTTGTGGATGGACGGGTCGGTTGCGAGAAGCATGGTCGACCACCTGCATAGATTAATTGAACCCCAACCCCGGCAGATCCACCACACATGGCGAGAGTTTTTTTTTTTTTGGGTTTGTGTTGCCACAAAAGAAGCAGACAAGAATAAGTCTCAGGTCGCCAGTCGACAATCCCAGGTCGCCCTCGGTCGGCGGTTTGGGAATCGCTTCGGCTAATCCGCAGGACACCAAGCTGCCGGACGGCTCGGTGAACGTCGCCAAGGCACGGAGTGCATGGGCCCTATCATGGTTGTCGTTGGGAAACATTCTGCATTTTTGCTTATTGCGGTTTGGTGGGAAATCCCCACTGAACTGCTATTTTGTTTTCTCCCCTTCCAACGTCAACCAAGCTATAGATTTGAGCCGTTGCCATGGCTGGAGTTTGTTTGGTTTTACCCTTAAAAAGCGGGGTCATGAGAAGTGTTTGTTTCGCAGATGGCCCCATTTTAAAGGTCTAAGTATCACTTTCACCAGACTTGGATCCAGATCCTTGTAAAGCAGGTTGCGTTTGTGTGCATCCGTTTAACGCGGAACTCTGATGACATGATGAACGCTTGTCAACTTGGGCGTTCCTTCATGGATACATCCAAGAATCGCCTGCAGGGGCTGAAATAGTTAACCTAATTTTCGCATGGTCATGAGTTTCTGGTATGATTTTTGGGTACCCCCAACCAGCGTGGAATCCAAAAAAGAGTCCCCCAAATGGAGGTTCCTCTAAACACGGTTGTCATGTTAGTGTTGGCGCCGGACCCCCGGATTCATAAAAGGGGTGTTTTGTAAAAGGGAGGGGGGGCCCCTCCAACAGTGAAGAATCCCCCACTAAAAGGGGGACACCCCCTATTAATCAACAAGAGGTCCTTGAATCCAGGTTTCCGGATTTGACTCACTTCCCGAGGTCCGTTCGGACTTTCTACGCCCTTTTTTGGGCGTGGCAACCGCCATCTGAGTGATAACAAACAAATGCGAGAAAGTTTTGCGAAGTTTGGACGATTGTTTTGCCAATCCACTCGAGTCACTCGACGGGACGTGGGTGCAGCTCAAAACTTAAGAGCCAGGGTTACGCAGGTTTTAGTCTTTGGTTCCATGTACCAAGGGGGCCATTTTGGTACGTCGAATCATTTCGCGTCCTCCGACCGAAGCCCTCGATCAGGACGTGAGCTTCGGGGACGTCTTGGGCAGCGCTGTGGGGGGCGTCTTCTCTGGCGCCGAGGCGATCCTGGAGGGCGTGAAGGCAAGAACCTCGCGCCCGCTGGAGCCACCTAGAGTCGCCAGAGTACCCCTAGAAAAAGGGATCATGACCCGAATCTTTCTTTTGGGAAAAGACCCCATTTTTTAGGGTTATGGAATGTTATGGAGAGTCTAGGCGCTCACTTGGTGAAGTGACCTGAACGGACCAACCGCAGCAAGTTCCCTTTTTCAGTGGGCTACAACAACTTGCGCCAGAGTTTGAGTGGCACCCTGAGCTGTCCTCTTAGCTTCCCGCTTTTGTGTTCTCTCCCCAAGATGAACTGCTCATGTTTGGGCCTCTGCAGAGGCGTTCCGTTCCGTTATGCCTAAAGGAAGCGGCTGCGAGCTGACCGATTCAGCTCTTGGAGTATGGCATCAGATGGTGTTCCAAAGCTTTGATCGGGCCCAGGAAGGTTGTCTGAATTCCTGACAGTTTTCCTGATATCCTTCTGGGGGCGGCAAGGCATACGTGAAGCCGTGAAGATGGTCATCGGTTGTGTTTCGCCCAGTTGTCTGGGGAGCAAACCCCGCGACGGAATGGCAAGGGTTGATTGGGAATGATCACTTTCCAAACTAGAGGCCTGCGTTTGGTTGCATCTGGGAGCAAAACTGCAAAAACCGCCTCAAGATAAATTCCTTGTGGTCTGTCAAGCTGGTCCCAATACCCAGCTGCATGCACCCATGCACGTGCAGATCAAGAGGGCCGTTCTTTTTTTTTTTGGGGGGGGGGTCTTGCCAGTTAGCTTAGCACGAAACCCCAGCATGCCATTAGAGGAATCCAATTCCTCTTTGAGCGGACTATTCTTTGGTTCCTGCCACGAGAAAAAAGATGCAGCTGGGGACATGCAGGGGACCTAGCCAAAGGTGGCCAGTTCACTTGCCGGTTCTCATGAAGGAATGATACAACCTACCATTCCTTGTGGACATTGCCTTGTGGCGCGATGCCCCTCCCAGTTTTCTCCAAAACCCCTGTTGACTCCCTTCTCGAAACTTGAATGCTACGTTGGTCCTCAACTTTCAAACACTTCTCAAAACACTCTCACTCCCTGTATTCCTGGACTGCACACTTTTTGGGAAGAGCATTTTACTTGATGTATTGACTTCTCTTGCCCATCCTCAGGAAGATAGAACTGCCTATTTTCCTGCAATCTTGGGTAGGTTTTGAACCTAAGACAAAACCGACCGACCCATGCCATGTCGACCTGAGATGTGCGGCGCAGGGCCTCTTCGAGGCCCATTCCCGGCACATCTCCGGGGTGGAGTTGGAAGGCATGGGCCTCGAGGACGCCGAGGAGCACTCGGAGACCAACGTCGCGCCCGAGGCGAGAGAAGGTTTTGGCCCGACTCCATACTGTGGATGGTTGCGACATCCTTTTCGCACCACCCAAGAAAGAATGAGCCATTGAACCATTGTTTAATTGTTGGTATTCACAGGCGAATCGAATCATGCCAGGGTTTCTGAACGGTGGTGCGAAATGGATTTCGTCCATCAACAGTAGGTCCGTTTTGGCGTGGTCGGTTTGGAGAGCAATAGATGGGTTCCACCTGGTTTAGACTGGTTTTGTAAGCAATTTGCCAGGGAAACCCGTCTTTTTTACCAAAAGGACACCTTTGTGCCCGACTTGGTGCATAAAGAATCCAGGCATGTGTGGGTGAACTAGCCTTAAACTTCCTGAGTTCCGTTTCGGACTTTAGCCACTTGTTGGGAAGACCTCATGTTGGTGGCATCCCAACAGTTTTGGAGTTGTTTTTTGGCGAGTCCACTCCGGAAGTGACATAAAGCGCCCAAGCGTTTGGTGAACCTTCTGACAGTCTGAGGTTTGCCCCCTACTTTTGCTCAGCTTTCATGGCGACGCGGGTTTTTGGTGAGCCAATCAAGGGTGGGTGGGAGATTGGGGTTGTTTTAGTATTTGTTTGTGTGGTTAAGGCCAAGAGGCGAAACCAGAAGGAACCCAAACTATAGGAAAACCATGGGGAATACCACAGAGGAGCACCGAAGGGAATGCCATCAAGGAACACCACAGGGAAAGCCATAGGGGAAGCCAGAGGGAAACTCGGGAAAACGTCACGAGGCGTGGGGCAAGCCCCCTGCTCAGGAAGAGGCTCCTTCGGATGCGGAGGAGTACCACCCCTCCAGCGGGACCTACGTCCCCCCTGCGCTACCGCTCGGAGCGCCCGAGCCGCCAGCGGACTTGCTGGACCCGGCGGAGGTCAAGTTTCACCAGCAGCCGGAGGACCTCCTTGACCCCGAGGCAGGGTTTGTCTCTTGGGGGTTAACCCGGAGATTGTATTAAAGAAGAAAAAAGAGAAAAAAGGTCAAATGAGGCTCCCCAAATCCACCCTGAAGTTCACCCGAAAGACACAACTAAATAGTTAAGGATTTCAAATTCTCAGATCCAAACATATAATGGGGCTCCCAAAAATGCACCATGACTTGAACTCTGGGTATATTTGTTTTTAGGGGACCCCCCAAGCTGGGCTTCGGTTTAAACCCAACCATAAGGAGGCACCCTAACAAAAGACACACGTACATCTAAGTGGGTTTCGTGTAGGTCACCGGCTGATGCGGAGAATCGCCGGCTGGCTCGCGCGAAGCTTTGAAAGCGAGCGGTTGCGAAGACGCGCAGACGCGCTCGAGGGGGGGCTCTGGAATTGGTCGGTCCCCGGCGCCCCTCCACTGGGATTTGGCCATGTTTGGTCAACATCTCTTTGGGAGGGACATACGGGACTCAGCAAAAGTCGATCAAGACGGGGCTCACTCATTTTTGCAAAGCAGTCATTTTGACCGTGCCTCAAATGGGCACATGCCTTATGTGGGCACATGCCCTGACTCCAGGCTAAGAGGATTGATGCGCGATGTGTCAGGCTCAAGCCTTGCCTGGCCGGGCTGCCTTTTTGTCCCACCCCAGAAAGTAAACCCGTAATTGTTTGTGGATATCAGTACCAGTGGCAAAAGTAAGCCAGTGGATATCAGTGGATATTTGTCCGTTTTTTTTTTCCAAAGCAATGGTCATTGGCTCAATCTATGGAAGCATTGGAGGAGTAGCATTTTCTATCCACTGGCACACCATTTATTTGTCCCTCACGAACTTAGCGCGCATGTGATTTTCCGTGACGGCTTTGTGAAGCTACATGTTTGCTGAGGGGGCAAGGCAGTCTAGCTTTTCCAACATGCTACCGGCCAAGCAGTACCATTTGTATCCATTTGTTCAGACATGCCAGGCATGGAAGCGCCCACCCGCACAATGCAAATTGCAGAACCACTCAGAAACCACCAAATTCCACCAAACAGCCACAAATAGTCCAAACACCCGCACAGCTGCAAACCGCAAGCTGCAAACCGCCAGCCCAACCACGCGTTCCCGGGCCTAATCCACTGCCACCGCCACTTGGTCGGTGGATTCGATGGGCAAGCGCGGTGGTGCGGGGACTGAGTACAAGGACAAGCCGGCAGAGCAGAAGAAGGATGGCACCGCCACTTGGCCCAAAAGGGACGAGAGAGAGAGCGCGTGTCGCCGAAGGTAGCTCACCATAGGTGTCCCTTTTTGGCTGTTTTGGTACAAAAATAGATGGGTTTCGATTCCTGGTTTACTCTATTTGCCCTAGAAGGACACCTATGTAACTCACTCCCCGAGTGCCCCAAGGTAGCTCACCTGAGTTCCTGTAGCTTCTGGAGGCCCTAGTATTAGTGGTGAAAAATGAAGTTCAGACTTTTGTTGGCCCATCCACTCGGCCGGAAGTGAAAAGGGGCCAAGTAGTGACCGGTTGTCAAAACCCTATAGCTCTTGGCCAACTGAAAGTGATTTTCCTTTTGTGGGGGTGATAGGACTACTGCGTTACCTTCCCATTCACGAGCCCGCCTCCACCGCTTCTTGTTGTTGAATCCCTAGATACTGCAAGTCGTTTTTTTTTTTTTTTTCACAATCGATCACAACACCATGATAACTTGCGAAAATTATCGTGTGTTGCTTGTTCCCTACTTGGGTGTATTTCTTGATGGTACCCTTTTGGTGCTGTAAAGCGGACAAACGGTAAACCACTCAAATTGAGGGGTCCAAATCCAGATTGAGCCAACCCTTGGAATAGAAAAATCACGCGAAGAAAGACAGTTGTCATTCCCCGTGCTGTTCAAAGGTAATCCGGCAGATCCTTGGGGAATGGATTGAGATGTCAGGGTGGGATACTTCATAAGTTGCTGGTACCCTCCCTCTAACAAGCATGGAAGCCTGCTGACAGGAAGGTCTTGGAAGAGGAGCGCTTTCCTTTTGGGGACGCCCAAAGCCATGGTGGCAAGGCCCAAGTCCCCCCGGGTGGCCTGGACTCATCCAGCCCATTTAAGACGCCAGTTTTTGAGGGCACTTGGCCTCCGCCGTGCCCCTTTTTCAGATTCCATACATACAAGTGCTTGGAGGGTGCATGGACCCAGGCGTTTTTGCTCTAGGTGTGCGTCATGCTATGCTTGCAATGAGCTACACCAGCCTCCAAGTGGTTCGCACAATTTCCTTGCTTTTTCAGTAATGGGGGAATGAACCTAGGCATCCCCGCAAACCCTACTCACCAGTAAGATAAAAGGGATGACTCAACCACAATTGGACTTGTGCCATCTACTTTCACCCAAGTGTACACCATATTCTCTACTGCTATTGGGCAACGGATCTTTAGACTTTCACTTTTTGGGAAATCCCGGCGGTTTCCATGAAACCCACAAAGAGTTAAGAACAATTTGCCAGAGGGGTCAACAGCAAGCAAGTATTAGACCTCCCCCACTTGGTTCCAAGGGAGCCAAGTTCAGCCTCAGGTGGTCAAGTCCTACCAGCGCATGCCCACGCAGATCCTCCAAGAGCCGCGCGGCGAAACGGAGACAGACCTGAAGGGCCGTTGGGGCGGACCAAAGCCACGCTTGGATTCTTAGACCCTGTTTTGTGAGCCCCCTTTGCCCGGATTCCTGACAGGATCCTCTATCTTTCCAAGCTTTTTGCATGTACCAGGGGAACTTCTAGGTGTATCTTGGTGTGTCTTGTGAGGGACTCGAAAGCCCTGCACGGAAAAGTATAGGCTCGCCTTCCGCTTTCGCGCGCGAATATCAGGTGGAGCCAGGGCCAAAAGCGGCCCAAGCCCGAGTACCGGGGGGTCCGATCCTACGACCGGAGTAAGTGCCGCTTCAAGGCGAAAGCTCGCGCGGGAAAGCGCGCGATCGAGCGCGTTGGATCGAGGGGAGTCCAAGAGATCTTCGTAGCCGGCTGGTAAGGGAGGCTGGGGGCTGGGGTTTTGGCTCAACTCGGAGCTAGTTGTGGGCATGGCACTTCACAGAATTTTGCTCCAGTTACAAAGCTCCAAATACTCCCTCTGCAAGAACACCATGCAATTCTCCCTCAACGGCATGTTGAAGAATGGGTCTTTGCTTTGGATGGCCCGGCTCCTTTTTCCCTTTGACACACCCAGCGAGCCTCAGCTAATCGGAGGGCGACTACTTGGTCTTACTCTTACTGCTGCAGCAACTGAGCCACACAATTCACAGGTGCGCGTGTGCTTCCTGAAGTACTTGGACGTTCAAGCAATTTAGCAAGTTGGTTCTGGTTGTTACCGGGGGCCAAGCCCAGTTCCCCAAGCTAGAACTAGAACATCGCTGTGGTAAGGAGACTAACCCCAGTTACCCCAGCTACAAAATCTTGCCTCAGGTTGACATCCATCGGGACCCCCCTTTTCGGGCTGCAGCTTCGCATCTGGGGCTTCGGACCTGGAACTGCCCATGCCAGGTGGTTCTGCCTGACCCCAAGGAGCGCCGGCTGGGTGAACAATGTCGACCCCCAAACCAAAATTCAACCAGCATAGATCCCAAATAGCCATAAAACAGGTCGAGGCTTGCGCGCTCGTCGGCCAGATCATATCAAGTTCAGGGACACTTCTGGGTGAGGGATTGAGAAGCTTCCTGATGTGGAATTGAAAGACCGAAAACCTTAAGTGTGTTTGTTTGCTCCAGTTCTGTGGGCAGCATGGGTGCTTGAAGTTTGGCGCAGGTCGAAGGGAGACTTTGAAAAAGGGCCGAATTTGATCGAGGGCTTCCTGCCCCAAACAGCACCCATGCCCCCAGCCGACATTCTCGCAAAATGCGCCCTGCGCCCACCGTCACCAGCGTCTGACTGTACCTGCACCAGCACTCACAAAAACAGCGCCTGCACCAGCACCCCAATCTCCCAGCACCCGGGTCACAAGCACCTCCAACAACACCTGCACCAGCACCCCAAACTGCTTAGCACCCGGCCAAGTACCTCCAACAGCACCTGCACCAAACTAATAAACGTGCGCACACCGCCACCAGCACCTCAAACAGCACCGCAAACAGCACCCAAAAGCAACACCTGCGCCAGCACCTTAAACTGCATGCCCCCCCCCACCCAGCTGTCAATCTTGCAAAACTTTGCCGACACCGTCACCAACACCTCAAACAGCACCTGCAAGCTGCACCCCAAACTGCATGCCCCCTAGCACCGAAGGGGAGCAATCCGGTTTGGGGCTTCAAACAAGCAGTTGCTTCGTGGAAATGACACCAAGTTAGCTCAGCACAAGTCCAAACCAAACTTCGGGGCATGGCTCCTTTTTGGAAACGAATGGCTCACTCAGTAAGCCTCTCACTCCCCGAGTTCCTGGACTTCAAACTTTTTGGGAAGACCGTTCTAGTGGTAAACAAGTAGTTTGGACTTGTTTTTGGCGAATCCACTGGATCGGAAAGTGAGTGCAAGAGGTGATCCACCTAAGCTCATGGTCGGAGCAAGCTAGCCGTTGAAAGCTGAGCTGCCCAAAGCGAAGCGACGTGTTTGACCTTTTGGTTTTCCAGTCTTGGTTTATATTCAGTCATGGCCCCCGAAAGGTCGACCGTTTAATTCTGGGTCCTTTGGTCAGCCTGCAGAACCTGACTTTTGCAAGGCCGCCGTATCCATGCAGCTCTTCGCAGCATTTGATTCCCTTTGCATGCAGTTCATGGCACGAGTGAATTCAGTGAATGCCCGCGGAAACCGCGCGTTCGGCTTGTCAGTGGCCGAGAGGATGCCGCCAAGAGCCTGGAGTTCGAGGCCAACCGGGACGCAGACACGCCCTTCGCAGCTAGGGAGGAGGCGCCTTTTTCCGCTACAAGCGCCCGCTTGCTTCTCCGCCGCCTGAAGAAGCCCGGGACGGGAAAACAAAAAAACAAACATCGGACCTTTTTTGGGCCCATCTCATCCACTCAGGAGGTGAGAACCGGTTTTTTCCAGGTTGGCAAGCCCTCCTTCCAGTGGAAGCAAGGCCTCGGTTGAGTTCATGGACGGCCACTAAACTTCCCCAGAATTAGCTGCCCTTTTTGCTTTTTTGCTTTTTTGGGGTTCCCTTCGTTTTCCACTACCCAGGCAAAAAAGATCTTTTTTTGCTGGGGTCCTAATTCCAGCCAAGTAAAATGGGCTTGGGCCCTCGTTTTGGATCGCACCTTTGGTTTGGCCCACGGAAGGGAGAGAGAGCTTGAAGTTTGTTCAGTCTTGCGGCCTTTTTCAATCAATGGAGGCTGACAGGGGTTTTTGGAAGACTTCCTCTCAAAAAGGCACCTGTCCACTTGTATGCTTGGGTACCCTTTTCCCAAGAAAGAGGTTGCTACCAAAAGAACCCCCCTAAAGATTGAACATGCACCCCGAATGGTTCCTTTGTGGCTCAGATTTTGTCTTAAAGTCTTCAAAGTAACTTTGACTCACTTCCTGAGGTGGACTGGCCAAAAAAACGCCCAAACTTCTCGAATGGTGCTCCTTAAAAGGCCCTCTCTCTGACGAATTACGCCAACGAACGAGCGTGAAGCTGCGGGCCGTGAGGCGGCCATGGTGGCCCTGCTGAAGCTGTGCCCGCAGCTGCCGCTGGAGCGCAAGCTGCCGGACGGCTACCGGGAGACCTGGCTCGAGGCCCTTGGTGCAGGCGCGGGCCCTGCCAGCGAACTTTCGGCTGGGGGAAATGAACGAGTCCAAGGGCATTTACCTTGCTGGCTCCCAGGGGATGAGTTGGAATGACCCCGCTATACAACATTTTTTATGGTGGCCTTCAGAGGAATCCCTAGGTTCATTCCCAACACCCGGAACGATGATGGGGGTGGGTGTGACTCCTCAGAGCGGCGGCAAAGGTGGCAAGGCCGGGGGACAGGTGGATGGGTGCGGCTTTTTTTGAGAACCTTTCGAAAGGTGGGTCAAAAGGGAAACCAAAGGAGAACCACTCAGTTTGGAGGCTTGCCTATTTTGAGACACACCCATTTGGGGAAGAATGACATTCTTCAAGTGCAGATTAGTAAGTTTGGCTGCTTCCAATGCTTTCAATTCATCCCAAGGATGATCAAATCCAGAACCGCCCTGCGAAAAACGGCGACACCCGGTGAAGCGAGCTCGCCATTCAGGTCTTTGCTTGAGGATCCCTTGCAGTTTTGGAATGAATAGCTCGCCTCCAGTGCGGTATTCATGTTTCCCCTTTTTTGGAGGCTGGGGGTTCCCCTCACGGCCAAAGAAGTACCGAGAAAGCTGTTTTTTTTTGTTTTCTTCGTTTCGCGCGGCCACTTGTCGCGGGTGCTTCAAGCCTAAATAAAACTTAAGCCTAGATAGAACTTCGGCTCGCATCCTTTGGGTTCCTCCGACCAAAATTCTAGCACGGGAACATCCTCGAGGTCGCAGGGATTGGGCCGGTCAGCGTTTGCTGCAGCTGTCCACCATTTAGTGTCACCCTGAATTGGGACCCCTGCGGGAGCCGCATGGCTCGCTGGCTTGCCAAAGGGAAGGGGGCGCAGGAGGTTGATTATTCCAACGGTTGATTCCCCATTCTTTTCAACCATCGTTCTTTTCAAAAACCGCCCGTTTCCCTGGGTTTCCGGGGGTTTTCTAGAAAGAAGGATCCCTGGAAAGAATGGGGAAAGTAGCACTAGAATTATCGGTTGGAGGAACCAAGAAGCGCATGAATGCGGTTTCGAAGCTCAACTCGGCCAGCTAGTTGTCTTGGGCTGGACAACCATGAAGGGAGGCCCGCTGCCTGCTGTCTCCGGGTGTTTGGCTCGGTTCCGGCCAGATCCGGAACACCCTAGTTGGAATAAGGTTAGCCAAAGATTGGCCAGATCCAAGCACAGATCCAAGCGCGGACTGAGAGAGCCGAAGGGCCGACCTGTTTTGTCGGTTGCAAAGCAAGGGCCCCCACTCTTCCTGCTCAACAATCGAGGGGCTTGAGGGGCACATGTCCTTGTCCGAGCCAGGCCAACCTCAGGCCAAGGCCAAAGGAAAGAAGCTCGGCTTGGGAGATGAGTTCGACGTTTGACCCACGCGTCGCTTTAGCGCCCGTTTGCCAGGCAGCGTCGCTTTGGCGCCCGATTGCCAGGCAAATGGCCACCTTTTGCGCCGACCCCTTTGCAACTGAGCAAGGGGAGTCATTTCTCGAGGCAAACATCACCTGGTTGAAGCTTCCTCCCGTGTGACGTGTTTATGGAGTCTCGCCTTCCGACAGACTTCAAGGGGCGCCGAGTCGGGGATTCGCGGCTTTCCGGTAAAAGGGTTTGATTGAAGTGTGTTCGCTCAGCACCTAGACAACTTCCATTTGCTTAAGACTATCTTTTAGTTTCCCCTCCACTCAAGTCACCGTGTCACATCACCATCTGGCAACGGCCGTTTCATTTGCCCAGGCAAGTGCCCGGGTCATTTGCAGGTTTCGACGTGGGTGTGTGTGTCTTTTTCTTTGTGGGGGGGTTCCCCTTTGTGTGTCGTGCTTTGTTTGGCGTGGTTCGGGTTCGTTCGTGTGGTTGTCCGGGTCGACAGCATGCCTGCCTGCCTGCCTGCCTGCCTGCTTGCCTGCCTGCCTGCCTGCTTGCCTGCTTCTCAGCAATGAGGGAGCGACGAACCCACCAGTCAAGCCTCATTGCATCGGCAAATGTTCCCTGAGGTTTGCTGGAGACTTGCAAGCTTGATTAGGCTTGGCTTGGTTAGGTGTTTTGGTTTGGCTGTTTGCCGGTTTCAACGTCGTCGCTGAAGGGATGCATTTGGCCAGTCAAAACTCCCCTTGAACTTGCTTGTTCTTTCAGCCTGTTGAAAAAAGCCAACGACCGATTGCCCAGGTGCCCAGGTGTGCTTCGAGCCACCCACTATACGGGTATTTCCCCCAACTTTGGGTGGGTGTCAAGCACCTGCTGGGGCCAATTTGAGGAGCTCCCCTCCTTGGGTGGTGCAACCGGAACGCGAGAGAGCCCTATGGAAGATTCCGTCGTCCCAGGGCCGCCGCCAAAGCCGCGGCGGAAAAGACGGCCGGCGGCAAGGAGGCGGCGGAGCAGGAGAAGCAAGCCGCCGCTCGATGCTGGCGCATCCCCCCTCGAAAATGCAATTGCTGACCCCTGGAATTCCCATTTGTGGTTCCGTTTTCCCTTTTATGGGGAAGACCGGATAAATGGAATCGTGGGACCCCCACCCCCCTTAAGGTAGGGGGATGCTGGCGCGATTTCTCGCGCGGAGTCGGGGTTGATGGGGCGCGGTGGTGGTTTCCTCTGTTTTTTGTTGCCACGGGCGAGGAGGCAATGTGGGAAATGGATGGAAATGGGGTTTTGGGATCAATTGCACCAAGGGAACTCAATGCGCCCTCTTTGAAGTGATAATGGGGATGGCCTAGTGTGATACAGAAAAGCTGATCTTCCACAGCCATGCCAAGATGGAGCCAACTTACCCGTTGAGTTCCGACAAAGACGTGTCGACTCAGCTCGGAACAGCTTGATTTGACAGACCTAAGCAGGAGATGTTGCATCAAAATGAGTTTCACCAAGAAATGCGGGTTTTGTGAGTTCCCCTTGCCATTTTATGAATGTCAACCGCGCGAGTCTGAGGCTTTGGCACGGAAGGCGCAGGACGGGTTTCGGGTTCCTGTCGGGTTCAGAACAGGAGTTGGTATTGTGTCCTTTCGTTCCCCTACAAAAAGCGCACCCCCAACCGAACGGACTTCTGCAATTTCCTCCTGGTGGCTTTGAACATTCCTTGGAAAGGCCAATTTGAATCGGGGGTGATGTTGGGGACAATACCCACTCAGAGGCTTCCAGAACTCTGAGAACTAAGATCGTTCCAAGCATTGTGGCGTAGGGCCTGTTTTTTTGTTTTTTTGGGTTCGGACATGTGTATTACATGGTTGTTGAAGCATCCTCCTTGAGGTCTTTCAGAGGGACCATGGCACTGCATCTACATTTGGGGGTGTTTTTCTTTGGGGTCCTTTCTAGGCCCTCCTTAATTAGTCAAGGTTGTATAGTTATAATGTCATTTTGACACATATCTCTACTTGACTAGCTTAATGCCGACTCCAGTTGTGGATTTCTCTGCAAAGCCCGAATGACTGCACACCAAAGAATTGAACGTACTCAAGGAAGCGTTAGCAAGGGAATTTCGTGTTTAAGCCTGTTTGCTCCTGTACTTAGGGGATTACGGCTAAGTGGGGTGACTCGGCCCGGAGAACCGGCTATGGTGGACTTGAATTCGAATGAGGCTATGGTCAAGCAGGTTCCGGGCGGCCGAATCTGAAGACATGGAGATTTGGAGGGTGTTCTCCGGCGACTGGTGGAGCTTGCTTCGAGGATGAGCTCTGGAGGGCGGTTCATGAAACCGCTGAATGTGTGAACCGCGCCGGTAAGTGGGCCAATTATGGCTCAAGTATGGGAATCGAGTTCCCAAAGGAACAGCTTCACTGACGTTGCTGGGTGACTGCAAGAGAACACCCCTTGCATGACACTTTAGGATGCTGAAGCACATGGTTGTGGAAAGTGTGCTTTGGGTTGATACCAAAAAATATTTCAGTGAGGCAGGATGGTTTTGAAGGAATCGTTTTGACCACCGGAAATATTCTTCCAGGGCGAAAAGGTGACGACTGGAAAGAATACAAAGTTGCCGGTGCGCAGTCACTATTAGTCACGCATCGTCGCTCTCCGGCGTCCATGCCGCTCGCTTTTAGTCCCCTTCGGCTTCACTGGCTTTGTGGCTCTGCGTCGCGTTCTTTGAAACAAAGCCCAAAACACGGCCAAACCCTGGGAACATGGCCGGTGTTCAATCAGAACCATATGGGTGAAGAGAAGGGGAGTCAACCCAAACATGCAGAAACAAACAAAAGTGTTAGTAAATTCCTTGATTAATGGGATCCCATTTTAGGGATAAACTTTAGGGCTTCCGATTACACTCCCACCAATAAACATGGAACCTGACAGGCTTTGACCAGGAAGTTTGGTTTTCCAGCACCCCCGCTATCAGGGAGGGTGCATCATGGTTGCGGGAGTTATTCGTTTTGGGCGAGTCCACTTTTTGTGAGTGGCAGTGGCAATGCAGGCCCCCGATGTTAGTTGCTGGGAGGGTGCATCATGGTTCTGAACCATTATCCTGTTAAAGGGGCCCCCTGTCATGTTCCATGTTACTTGTTGGTTCTGGGAATTTTGCGCTTTAGGCGAGCGAGTGGCCGATGGAAAACAGCGGCAGGAGGAGCAGCTCGAGGCATTGCAGGCGGAGGAGCAGAAGAATCTCTGCTTCGAGTGGGAGCGCACGGGGCGGTGCCGCCGCAACGGGTGCCGGCCCTTTGGCGGAAACGGGCACGGGGGGAAGGAAGGAACAGGTTGTTTTCGCCATTGGTGGGCACACACCGGTTGAGTCGTTGGGTTGCTGTTCCCTTTAGTGGGCGTCCGGATTATTTTTAGTCAGATTTTGGAGCAGCAATTTATTTACCCTCCCACCCTTTTCACGACGGTCGGGGGGCCTGGCTTGGACAATTTTCCGGGACCGGGTCCCGAACGTCAGGTTCCATGTGAAAAGGGTGGGAGGGTAAGAAATGCATGTTGCGGATGGAGCTGGAGCTTGGCCTTTGGAGTTTTTTTTTTGGGGGGGGGCACTGCGGATGGACAAAACCCCGTGAGGGAGGACGCCCCGGGATACACCGCACGCAGCGTGGATTTGGGATTTTGGCCAATCCAAAACTGGCCTGCCCAGACCTCCTTCCACAGATGTGTTCTGAGCCAAAACCAATGAGGGCTCTACGACTTCCATTTTAATAGTTCAAACCACCAAAAAAGACACGAAGAAACCCTTGATGGAATCAAAGGGAATATATCACTACCGGAAATTAAGCAAAAGGAAGACAACCTTTTGATTTAACTTGTAGCATGTAGGGTGCAGGTTTGGGCTGAGGGATTTGCAGGATTTCTACCCCCGGAGGGGGAAGAGGCAAATTCATAAATTCCGCTGCTACAGACTTAGTTGCCCAACGCCGACCTATTGACCTTTTTTGGTTTTCCAGAGTTTGTTTGTGTGTGGCAACGGCCCCAAAAAAGGTTAGCCTTTTGTTCCAGGCTTTTTGGGCTGAAAAGTGTAGGGAGCTCACTGATTCGGGGATGCGAAGGCCTCGCGGTTAGACCCCTTGGGCGCGTGTGTGTGTGTGGCGCCACACGCAACCACCAAACCGTAGCGAATTGCAGGGCCAACGTCTTTCCCTACTTGTGGTACGCGCACCTCTTATGTGGATAGCCACAATCAGGGTATTCCCATCCAAGTCAAAACGGGCCTCCTCCACCGTTCGAGCTTTGCGCGCGATTACGCGCCCCTTGCGCGAGCAAGCTGAGTTTTGACCACCCCGCGCCAAAGCCGGAGGACGCCAAGGAGCGGGGTGCTTTTTTGGGGGTCTCCGCCAAAACATGGGATATCTTGCAGGGTCAGAAGTCAAGAACAGTTCTGTATACCTACGAGGGCCCTTTGTTTCTTGTGGTAAGGGTCCCTCACAGCTTTCAAAGCGTCTTTGGTGCCGAAGCACGACAAGGTTTGGTGACCAGGCACCACCTTTCAGACAGGAAGTTCGCGTCGCTTGAAACAAATGCTTGTGGGAAAAATATCTGATAACAAGGCAAAACTCCCTCAAGACCGCGGTTTACCACCTTGCGAAAGTGACAATGTCGTCTTGGATGGAAATCCAGGGTGTTCCCTCTGCTGCGGAGGGGTCCCGGGTTGTTGGATCAAGCATTTTTTGGAGCCCCTCTATGTTGAGACAATGAATTCATGTGGCTGTGTGTCCAAAATAGCGAACATGGAACCTGGTAAATGAAGCCAAGGACTAAAACCTGCGGTTCACTAGTTGTTTAATTTTGACCCAAACCCATGTGGCTTTGAAGCATTCTGCCATGAGGAGGTCGAGGCCAAGGAGTCGCAATGGGGAAATGGCTGGAGCTGGGGCGATGGCTGGGCAGAAGGATCCTGCACCTTGGTGCTGGGCATTTGGGTGTGGCTCAGAATTAAAGAGCTAGGGTTGCGCAGATTTTGAGTCTCTGGTTCCATTTGCCAAGGTGCCAGTTTGGTACATTATATTGAACCACAGCCATTTGGGAAGGGAGAAAGTAGATGGCACGATCTCTCCTCTTTGCGTCCTTCCGTCCTTTCTTGCGGGAATTGCGCCATCCACTTTCAGCATGGACAGAAGGGTCCAGCCAGAACGGCGGCCCCCGAAAAGATGCAAGATGGTTGTTTAAATCAGGAGACCAATTCAGAATACCTACCAGGGGTGTACGACAGAATTGTTCTATGGATTATGACCCTTGTTTTAGTATTGCCCTATCAGGCCAACGTTGGATGTGTCCTTCTAAAACTTTCATTTTTGTCTTGCTGGGTCACTTATCACTGTTGCGTGGGTCCTTCTTTTCTGGGGGCAGTGTTGCCATGTTCTGCTGGGCTGTTGGCACACTTCTCGGTTGCCTTGGCTAGCAGACTTATAGCCGTGCTAAGTGGGGCATACCCACGGTTATTCCCCACTTACTAAGCACCCTGCCCCTTTAAGTAGCGAGCATGCTCTTGACCTCATCTGGGATCAAACACCCTGTGGCTCCCCTAAGTAATGCCCTGGGAGAAACTGCCCTGAACGCCTTTGCCTCCATTGGCACAAAGTTGCGCATTTTCAGGTTGCGAAACGCATAACGTAGTCTGAGCTTTTCTCGTTTCCTGAGGGCCAAAGCCGATCTACCCCCCCCCCCCCAAGAAAAAAAATAAACAGAAAATAAACAACAACAACAACAAAAACACAAAAACAAAAGAAATCGGTTCCCCAAAAAACGAAAATAGAACCGGACAAGTACCCTCAACTTCCCCCCCTTCCCTTCCCGATGAACGCTCTCTCAGAGACGCGATCCATACGCCGCATCTGAGGGTCTTCTGCGCCTTTGGGCGCGGTGCACGGGCACACGTCCAGGGCAGAGCTGGAAAAGGGCCGCCGCGAGAAGAAGGCCCGGAGAGCCTTCTTTCTTCTTCTTTTGTTAGTATCAGAGCGATGAATTTGTTGGGTGCAGGGGGAGCCAGCGAATACCGGTGTTTGAACCCCAGACACCCAGTGAGTTTGTTTTTTCTTACCCGATTATTTTTTTCAAAAACAAATCAGGCGCTGTGCTAACGCTTCCTTTTTCATGTTCGTTGGGGAGTTGTCCCTTCAAAGTCAACTACCTCCCAAAAAACGGTGGGGGTAGGGGGACGCCAGCTTATAGAGGTGTTTAAACTTTAAACCCCAGACAGAGTTGCTTCCCTTTTGTCCGTTTTTGTTGGGGGAGGCTTCCTTTCAGTCAACTGCCTCCCAAAAATGGTGCCCTTTTGTCCCATGGAATTCCACTGGGGGTCTGGGAAACATACGCAAAGAGAGGTTGATTGAATAGGCCCTCTCTCCGCGAGTTGCTTCCCTGGAGAATTCGACTCGAAGGAGTCCTACCCGTCCCCCCCCAAATTGGTATGAGAATTGGAATGACCCGAAGAAAAACGCCATTCTATGTTTTTTTTTTTTTTTTTTTTAAGGGAATCCACTTTCATTCCCACCCGGAAGGTCATTCCCTACTGACCAGCAAGAACAAGGGGTTCGTCAACAAAATGTGAGACCCCTTTGCTTGTAAGAATCAAAGATCTGTGAAGGCGCTCGTTTTGAACGGTGTTCCTTGTTCCACTTCCTCACTTGGAGCGAATCGACTGGATCTGACCTTTTGGTTTCCACTGATTTGGCCGTGGTTGTCAAAACCAATGGGATCCCATTTTGGTTGGTAGGTGAATTCACCACCCATTTTAGAACCTATTTTATTGGGGAGTGGGATGTTCACTGGGGGTACGGGATTTTGACCCATGGCCATTTTGGTCCATTAGTGGCCCCAAAAGGTCCCATCCGGAAGCTCATTCTGATCTCTGTCTTCTTCCGGCGCTGGGAAACTCCCGAAACCAGGAAAACCTACTAAACCCGGCAAACCCGGGCAACCTGTTTCGTGGCAGAAACCGTATGGGAAGTTTCATGCAGCAACTGGGCTGAAGATGATGTTCAGCTCTTCAGCTCAGCCCAGGAAGCATGGGCGCAAGAGAAGAACAAGCGCCAGGCCATGCAGGACATGAAGCGGCTCTTTGGCCTTGCGATCTTTCTGGCTGGTGCTATAGGTAGGGAAGGAAGGAATGACCCCTATGAACCATCCAACTGGTGGCTTCCTTGAAGGGAATCCAAACCCAGGTTCATTCCCCCAGATTCCCTACCTATCGCACCAGCAAGCTTTTCGAGCTTTTGGTTTCAGGTGACAGGTGACCGACTAGCTGAAGTCTGGGTTGGTTTGGGGATTTGAACCCCTGGGTCTGACATGGCTTAAAATGGGAAGCCCCCCAAGCTCCACATCTCCAAACCACCAATCCAACCGCCAATCCGAGGATTGATTCCGTGATGTCTGGCTTGTGACGTTTTCACTATGCCCGTCGAGTCCTGTTTGTTGGTTTCGGGGCCCGAAGAAAATGGGATCCACCCGCAAAGGGGGCTTCTGCCACTGCCAGTGCCGGGGCTATGCAATTATGTCCAACCTGCTTGAAGTTGCCAGGGGGCTGCAAGCAGGCAGTCTTGGCCGGCGTGTGCTGGTTCGCAAGTGGCATGGATAGAAGCGGCCCTGGCAACTGGATATTTATATTTCCCAGCCGGGGTTTGGGCAGTTGGACCGAGTTTCAGTCCCGAAAGTCCAGAGCCTCAGATAAAAACTCGCTTGCATGGAGCTTGGTTGGGAAGTGCTGGTCTGCCCTGTTGGTGGAAGTGACCCTTGTCCCCTCCTGATCCTCCGACAGGATATTATTCCCAAAGAACGGGGCTGCTTCAGTGCCAGCGAGCTCATTCCAACATCACGCAAGGCTGGCCAATATGGATGCGCGGGTCGTGCTGGCCAGGCGGGGGGCCTAAGGTCCTACTTCATCCAATCCAGGACCCCAGGCATCCTCCAATACCCCATCTGACTTATTTGGGAGGGGCTGTGGTCATTTTGGGTATGGACCTGGGCTGGGGGTGAGAAGACGTAGAGGCTCGTGGCACTGAAGGAACTTGCATAGTGTGGCCAGCTGATCCTTTAGGCTTTGGTCCAACTCAGCCACACGGTGTTTCTTTCCTGTTGCCTTGGTTTGGTTGGTTTGTTTGGTTGCCTGCCTGTTTGTGAGTGTGAGTGTTGTCTCTCATTTTGTTTGCTTGCCTGCCTGTTCGTGAGTGTGTGTGTTGTCTCTCTGTCTCTTTTTTTCTGCTTGTCCTACTGGCTGCCTGTCTCCCTTCCTTTCTGCGTTTTTGTTCATTCTCAAAGTGGTTGTGGGTCAAAACCCAAGGTGCCTCCGCGGGGTAGGTGAATTCACCACCCATTCTAGAACCTAATTATTTTAGTGCTTGGATTGAATCGGATGTTCACGGCTACGATTTGGATTTGGACCCATGGCCAAGTGTTCCCGGCGCCAGGCGCATGCGGGAGCTGATTTCCAAGGCGCTGAACCTGGGCGCGGAGTACGCGGAAGCCAAGGGCGAGGTCGAGGACGTCACAGCTGCCCGGCGAAGAAAACGGCAGCCTGGGGAAGCCAAACACCCCACCGACTCACTCCCGGAACGTCTCCAAACCAATCCAACTCGAGGGAAGCTGAGAAACGTTAGTCAAAGAATGGGCTTCCATTTGGTTTAGATTTTTTCCCCAGCTGGTTTTAAAGAGAATCTATCACAACTGGTACTATGTTTATTTTTTCCAGGGACTTAAGCAAATGGAGGTCCCGACCCAGCCAGTGGGCGCACTTGACACTTTTTTTCTTGGTGGCTCTCCCTTTCTTTTAGTGGTGGCCCAAAAAGTGTGCACTGTTTTTGTTGGGGCTGGTCACTGGCCAAGTGAGAAAACCCCACCCCACTGCGGGCAGGGTACTTGGTAGGTAGGTAACAAGCATGGTTATAGCCCACTTACCATGGTTATAAGTCAGAAACAACAAAACCAGGGAAGCTTTGCCCCGGCTTGTTTTTTGCGGGTTTCGCTTGGTTCTAGAAGTGCAAGGGAAACTTTGGGTTTAGAGGGAAAAATGGACATCCCTAAAGTTAGAGGATAGAGGTTTGAACCGTTTGTTCTTCTTGTTTTTGTTGGGGGGGAGAGGTCCTGTCAGCTTGCATGGGGTTTCTACTTGAAGGGGCAGGGCAATTGCTTGGTAAGTAGGTCACAACCATGGTATCAAGCTGTGCAGTCGCTACGTTTCACTCTTAGGGGAACGACAGTGGCAAAGGCACCCTGCCCGTTTAAGTACAAACCCCACGCAAGACAGGACCTCCCCCCCGCTCAAAAAAAAAACATTTGGTTCCATCCTCGGAGCTCCAGAATTTCCGCTTTGCTCCGCTGAAAGGACCTCTAACCGAGGTATGTGGGGGAGAACCATGGTTACCAGCTTACCACCCCCCTTCAAGTAGAAACCCCATGCAAGCTGACAGGACCTCTCCCCCCAAAAAGAAGAAGAAGAAGAAGAAACAACGGTTCAAACCTCTATCCTCTAACCTTAGGGATGTCCATCTTTTCCCTCTAAACCCAAAGTTTCCTGGCACTTCTAGAACCAAGCGAAACCACCAAAAAAAAAAAAATCCGGGGCAAAGCTTCCCTGGTTTTGTTTTTTCTGACTTATGACCCACTTGAGAGACTTATAACCATGGTAAGTGGACTTAAAAACGCTCCGCTGAAAGGACCTGGAGGCCGCGGCTTTGGCGCAGCTGCGGGCCTGGGGCTTCAAGGCCTCCGCCGCCGACGCGGCGCTGCTGGCGGCGAGGGACGCCGGCGGCTTCGGGGACGAAGCCGCGGACGAAGCGGCGGAGCGGTGGGGGGCCGGGGGGTTGGGGGGGGGGGGGTGGGGGGGAATGGTGGACACTTGGGCGTGTTTTTTTTTTTTTTTGAGAACCGGTTCTCCACAAGGAAAACTAGTATTTTGGGGGTCCCCCAAAAACGATACCCACTTAAGTGTCGTTTTTGCACCCTTCGTTTCTTAGGGATCGTGGCTGAATAGAGACTAATTGCCCGTGGCAAGGCACATGACATTTGTTCGTGCGCAAAAATCACACCCAGCTGTGTGCGACCTGTCTCTAAAGGCAATCCACATCTTGCCAAGCGGCTGGTAAGGTGTGCTATTGACTGGCCCACATACATCCTTTCTTATCAAAGTGACGCAGCGAGCCAGAGCTGTGGCGCACTGGCAGCGCACTCGCGGGGCGGAGGGGGTTCGAGTCCTCTCAGCTCCAGGGTGACTTGCTTCAAGCCCGCTGACAGGCTGCTAAACAGCCCACACCTTTCATGCCTTGTTTTTTTTAGGTCATGCTGACTATAGTTGGTTTTCACGCACCAGCCAGCCAATTTTAAAACAAAGAAAGAAGATCGAAATAAATGACAAAACAAAAGACATGAATTAAGACAGGAAGGAAGGAAAGACCGAAAGACAACAAATGTGGACACCCCTTGCCTCAGCCCGGCAAGGCCCCTTTTTCAGGAACTCCTTGTGATTTGTTTATGGCAGCCTATCTATCCTTTTCACGATTCATGAAAATCTGAGTTCCCGAATTTTGCTGGTGTGGGGGATGGTTTAGGGCTTGGGTTCCTTCAGTTTGGGCCCCGTCATAATCCCCAGGAAGCAACACCTTGCATATGTTTATTGCTGGGGAAACTTGAACGAATTCCACGCGTTACCTTTTGCATGCTATGGCAACTGGCCCGTCCCGTTTCAAGAAAGCCGGCCGATTTCCCTTTGCCCTAATAGCATAATAGCGTCCCTTGGGCCGATTTGTGGTGCCTCAGTTTTGCGCCCCGAACACGTCACCGCGATTTCTTGGCAGGAGGGGGCCCACCGGTTTTGGGGTTGGATCGAAGGAGCGCTTGCGGGTCTGGCTGTGCTTGCACTTGCCGGAGCACGAGCTGCCAGAAGCTTTCGCCGCTGGCAAGGGCCAATTCGAGGCGTCTGGGTTGGGCCTCGAGTCTGGGGAACAGGGGTAGGGCCACCTTCTGCGACGTCTCCTTCAAAGTGTAGCCGGGCATCACAGAGGAGACGTTTATGCAAACATGGGGCAGGGTCGAGCCAAATTTGCTTCAAGAATCAGATCCGATTCGGTGCCCTTGGAGAAACAAGGGGTGGTTTCAATCAAAGTTGGGGGGGGGGCCAACCCTTGGAGCCTTCGCCTTCACAGGAGGTTGTAGTGAGGGGGGCCCGCGTTCTATTTCTGCATGTGGAGCTGATCAGGAAACTCAGTTGGTTTGGATTGGTTGGCTAGGTCCCCCAGTAGCGCCCTTTTACCCTTTTTGGCGGGAGGGTTCCCCTACTAAAATAGACTACAGGAAAAAGGGTGCCCTTATTCTAACCTCTCTACTGCAGGACCTAGTTGGGGACTTGAACTGGTTCTTGAGGATGATTTGGACACCTCCCTTGCTAACACCTCAGAACCACCGGTTGATTGGGAGAAGCTGGTTCTGTGGTGGGGCGAACTGGGGGATGTCCTGCACCTAAGCAACCCCTGGTGTCTGATGTTTCCCCAAGGTAAATACCAACAAACAGTGGGTGCAACCCTGGTTTCTTAGGTAGTGCGAACGGATTCCGCAACCATCCACAGTATGACTTTTGGTTGTTTGCTTTGGCCGTTTGCAGAAGAAAGTCGCCGCAATTGCGCCCAAAGGTGGGGGGTACATGCAGCTTTGCGCTTCCCATCTCAACATGCGTTTCCACTTGGCGGGGTGTCAAGAAGATCTTCCCTTCTCTGGTAAACGTGGTTTTTCAGTACCATGCCAAAATGAGTTCCTAGAGTTTACAAGGAACCCCGCTGCAAGCACCCGCGAAGTTGGCCAAGTCTGCGCGGGCGGCAACCCTTTTGAGCTGGGTGTTGTCACTTTTGTGAGCCCACCGGGCGTCGGGTCGCTTTCTTCGTCAGTCCGATCTTTCTTTCAGCTTCTGAAGCAGGACGCTGTGAAGTGGCAATTCCTAGAGCTTTCGGGCGTTCGGTTTTCAAGCGAGCTGTTGCAAGTCGGGAACACCGAAACCTACCCAAACCAAACAACTTACCGTATTTTACCGTGCTCTTGTGTTCTCCTCATGGTTGGTTCCCTTGCACTATGGCAGGCTATGGCGTTTCAAAAGCGACGCTTTTGCCGGCGCTTTCGGCAGGTGAAGGCGGGGCGCGGCGCCGCCCCGGGCGCGGCGGAGGTGGCCGCGACCGCGCCGGAGACGGCCGCGGCGGCGAGGCGCAGGGAGTTCTTCGGGTGGGTCCGCGAGGCTTTGGACGCAGCGATGGAGGACGCGGAGACGATTTTTGTTTTCCCAGTGGCCCCGTGGTGTCCGTTTTTTTTTTGGGGGGGGAAGGGTTCCCGTTCAAAGTCAACCAAAAGAGGATGCCCCTTGGTTTCCCGACTGGGCATCTGAGTTTACGGAATGGTACGGAAGGTAAGTGTCGAGCAAACCTTTGTATGGCTCCTACGCCATGGCAATTTGGGTTGTGGTTGCCAATCATGTCTCAAATTTTTCCCCCAAAACTTGATGATCGCCCTTCGCTTAGGCTCCTTCCGATTCTGGTGGGTTGCTTCCCTCCTGTTACAATATGTAGGGTGTGTTCACTTATTTTCTGTATCTGCGCAAGCCTAGCAAGCACGTGATTGTGCCCTTCGACAACGATCGCTTGTGGTTGCTTGGGCCAAAGGTGACATAGGAACAACCCGGAACCCCTGGTCCGCGTAAAAACAAGCTGTTTATTCTGACTGCCACGCTCACAGGTAAAATATTTTGGACCCCTTGATTGAAACCAGTCGTTTTGTGACTGAAGAGGGAGACCCTGTTTGCCCAACCACAAACCAGTTTTCCGACCTGGTCCATGTCACGGTGCCGTACCTTATGTTGGTCCAAACAGTTAAACACAACCGGCTGGGGGTCGAAACAGCAGGGTCCCCAAGCCCAAAATTGACAGACCATGCCACAAGTTGAGGGGTGTGCAACCATTGCGAAGTTCAACATGAACCCCATGTGCACCAACCCCCTATTACAATTCACACACACGCCTCTCAACCACAAAGATCTAGCTCCAAAACGAGGAGTTCTGAAACGTGACGCCTCTATCTAACACTATGCCAACCCTACCACCCTCAAATTCAACTTTGCCAACCCCAAATTCAAGTTGGCTTCTTCAGGGGTGTTTCATTGGGAAGCGAGGTCATGTGGCGCTTACCTCGGCGGTTCCCAATCATGCCCCTCGACTGGATTTGTTTTTGGACAGTTGCGATTTGCTGGTGGACCGAACTAGAACTACCACATTCGACCTCCACTTCCGGAGGTCCAACAGAGGTAAGTTGAGGGACCCCGCCACCTCGCACCCCTGCCGTTTGCCTCCACGCGTTTTCCAGGACGAATCTGCGGCGGAGGCGATGTTCGCGTCGGTGGAGGTGGTGCTGGAGGATCGCTCTGAGGGCGCCTGAGACATCGTTGCCCTTGACCAGAACGATGGCGGTAGAACAGATTCACAGGTTGGGTTGAAGGTTGACCAAGAGTGGCTTTACTTATGTGGTTGGTGTTGCATAGGGTTGGTTGTGCCATGTTAGAACTTGGTGTTACTTATGGTTGGATTGGGTGTTGGGTCAGTTGACTTCCTTTGGTATTTAAGTTAAGGTGAAAAGGGCAACCTCCCCGCCCCCCCCCCGGAAAAGTCCGGTGATTGAGTTTTGTTGTTCCAGGGTCTTGGGGGACCTTGTCCCGTGGTTTTCCCTGTGAGTCCATTTCCCTGAGCAGGTAGCCGAGGCCACCCTTTAATAACCAAAAAAAGGAACATGGTGAAGGGCGAACCTATACCTTTGGTGAGCTTTTGCCTTGGTTACTCATCGCTAAACTGGCGTACCGATCGATCGCCCCGTGCTCTGCAGAGATTTGCTATGGTTTCTTTGGGTTTTGCCTCAGAGTTCTGGCTGGTTCTCACCCCTGTCCCCTGTGCGAAATCCATGCCCAACAACCCGAAGGACAAGAGCTACTGTGGATGGACGAAATCCTGCGCCACCTAGCAAACCCTGAAAGGATGATTCCCCTGCAACTGCCAACCAGCAATGGCTTCCCATGGATTCCAAGTGGTGCGATTTCTGGATTTCGCAACCATCCACAGTAGCAAGCTGTTCGGCCTCGTCGGATCCTGACCCTGAGGATGATCCCGGCAGAACGGAGGAGGAGGACACAGAGCATCCAATGTGCAACTCGAAAAGGGGAACAGATTGGTAGTGAAGCTGGTGAAGCGTTTTGGCAAAATACTGAAAACGGATAAGCTTTGCCCAAACTACCGAGGCCTTTTTCGGAGACAACCTATTTTGTATGTGACTCACCTGGAAAGTCATGACTGCCCAATTTGCGCCGCAAAACTCAGGGGACAACTTTGTCTTACGCCATTGCTGGCGGGAAGCGAGACAAGTAGCGCGGAGGGGGGGGGGGGACCACCTAGCTTTCCCGTTTGGTTTGCAATTCGTACTCTTTGGTCGAGGGTTTCGCCTGCGGCTGGGTGGGGGGGTGTCTTTTAAAGTGACGGCCCTTTTAGACGGGCAGATTGAGACGGCCTTTTTTTCGGCATGGCCCTTGTTTCGACATGTTTTGACCATGGCCTATTCTTGCGTTTGAGGTTGGCCATGGACGGAAGCAAGCTGATTTCGATTTGGTCCGAGGCTCATTTACCAGTGGATTTTCCCCGGAAGGCACCTATGAGCGCCTGCACTGTTATGACCCCAGATGAACAAACCCGTCCTACGCATACTCGTAGGAGCCGCTCCCCCCCCAAAAGTGATGAAAGAGCCCTATGAGTTGCACCGGTTTGCCGTGTCTTGGCGCGTCCTGAAATCTGAGGTTGGCGGCGGGTGGTTTGGTCGAGTCGTGTTTTTCTTGTCTGGTTTTTTGCCCAAAGCCGTTGACATGCGGCTGTGGGGCAAGCATAAACAGCTGGGGTCACGCCGGTTTTAGTCTACCGTTCCATTTGCCAGGGTTCCATTTTGGAGCCCCTACTGTGGATGGACGAAATCCGGCACCACCGAAGAAGCCCTGGGAAGGATGATTCCCCCTGTAACTACCAACAATCAATGGTTCCAACCATGGTTTCTTGGGTGGTGCGAAATGGATTTCGCAACCATCCACAGTATTTTTGAGACACGCCCACAATACCCGTACCTCTTAAACACACAACTTTTCAATTTGTTTGGTAACATGGGCTATATGCCTGTAAAAGATTAACTTCCCCAGGGCTTGGAGTTTTAAGGGGTAAGTACCTGACACCCGGCTTCATGGGTAAAAAAAAAGCCGCCGGGCTCTCGCAGGAGCAGGAGGCGCTAGACAGTGCGCTGGAGCTCATGTCGGCGGAAGGGGTCCAGGAACCCACCTTAGAGGCGTGGGGGTCGGGGGGATGGGATGGGGAGAAGTGGGGGAGGGGGCGGAGGGAGGGAGGCAGCGCTGTTTTTTCCCTTCTTCTTTTTTTTTTGGGGGGGGGGGTTTGGGGTTGCGAGGCTTTCAATCATCAGCTTCCCTACTTAGTTGGACCTTGGATGGTTTGCTGGTTAAGGAGGGTTTTTCCCATGTACCTTGTACGAGAAGCAGGGGTTCAACTCCCAAGCCACAAATCCAAGCCACTTCTTAGAGGGAGGCTGAACTCACCGTGTGGACCTTTTGGCCCTGGTTGAGAAGTCTCATCAGTTCTCTTGTCAGGTAAATCCATGAAACTGTTTGAACCGACGCATGGCTCGACTGGATTAGTCAAGCCCTGGCTGATGAATAGGTGCTAATCAAACTACCATTGATTTTTCCGGGGTCCACATGACGACTCAATGACGACTCACGAAGGTTCGCAAGTTGGACTTTCCACGTCCATTTCAGCAGGCAGAGCATGACAACTGTTTGGGGCCAATCCACTCAACTGAACCTCTTAGGTGAGTGCGGGGCAACATAGGGGTGGGCTCGAGTACATACCAAGGGAACCCCCTCAACATGACACTAGTCACAGTGGAAATCTAACTTGGGTACATTTTCCACAACCATGCTCCACACCTTGTTGAATCCTTCTTGCCAGGGTTTTGCGAACTAGGTGAATCATGCGAGTAAAGCCAAAAAAGGCAATCGGTCCTATCGGGTGGTGTGAGTAAAACTCGGTCATATTGCGGGTGACCCAGGTTTTCTTTTGGGTCCAAGGCCAGACCCATGGGCCGGGCGACTCGGCAGGAGATGCGGACCCGCTGGGGCGCCCTCCGCGCCCTGGCGGCCGCCGAGGCCTCGGCGGTCGCGGAGGAGGCGGAGGCGGAGGCGGAGGCGAGCGATGGTTCGGAGGCGCTGGGGGACCACGAGGAGCCGGAGGTTGTGGCGGAGGCGAGGGCTGAGTTGCTTTGAACAAGAGGGGTGGAGGGAAGGGGGTGGGTGGTTTTGCGTGTTCGGATTTGAACTACGGCAAGCAGCAAGATACATATTTACAGCGGCGCGCGGTTTTATTTTGGGGTGGGTTTCCTTGTGACCCGGGCATGGCCCCTTTCGCCTCGCCTAGGTGGAGGCGCCGAGGCCCAAGCCGAAGGGTGGGACCTGGTTCGGCTGGAAGGCGGACGCTGCGCCCAAAGAGGTCGCCGCGTGGAAGGCAAGTGGCAAGGCGCGGTTGCCCGAGCTGTTGGGCCAAAGCAGCGCGTGTCAACTTGTTGTTTTTTTGGGGTTGGGGGGGGGATACTGAACAAGAGGCAAACAACCATGTTGAACTTCTATGCTTTGTGGTTTGCACAGAGTTGCCAACAGGATGTCTTTCGGCCAGCTTGAACATCCAATGCACCTTCTGATTTGGAGGACTTGAAGTGGGAACCCTGTTGAAAGGTTCATGGGGCGAGCAGTTTCTGCGGGCGAACGGTTGAACGCCCGCAATATGCTGCCGCTATGTGCGAAAGGCGATCTTCTTCGGGTCTTTCAGTACAGCTGGAAGTGGATTTGTGCAGATATCGGCTGGCTAAGCTTCAGCTGATCACCAAGGCTTCTTCGAGGCCCAAGGCCGCCTAAACCGGAGGCTGCTGGGCAGTTTACCTCTGGCTTCTGGCTTTCCCTTGTGGGTTCACATGCTGGGAGGGCAAAAGAATGGCCTAAGAAACGCGTCACCAAGTTGCTTCGGCCCCAAGTGGCAAGCTCCACACATTGAGGTTTTAACCCATGGACAGCCACTGAATGGATAGCCCACCAGGTGGTGACTCGCGAAAAGGCATAGTCCGGTGGCCACGTAATTAGGACTTTCAGTTCGATTCCCAAACTTGAGGGGTCCCTCACAACCCTTCAGGTGTCCTGTAAGAATCAGCCCGTCGCTTCGTGGAGATGGCGATGGGACGAAAATGGCGATGAATGTCAAGTCGGGCGGCTTGATCATCCCCACCTTACATATGAAATTGAGGGAGAATGGTCACCCTTACAATTCCATTTTAGATACATGGACTTGGGTCCCGAACCCCCCCCCCCCCCCAAGCACCCACCCCCCTCCCCACCCACCCTCTCCCCACCCCCTCCCCACCCGCCTCCCCACCCCCTCCCCACCCCCTCCCCCCTCCCCACCCCCACCCCCCTCCCCACCCCCCTCCCCACCCCCCCTTCCCCCCCTCCCCCCTCTTGGTAGGATGCACGCCAGGGCCAGAAGATGCAGAAGGCCCGGGAAGCCCTGCCAGCCTTCAAGGTCAAGGAGGAGCTGCGCCAACTGCTGAGCTCCAACCAGGCGCGGGGGATCGCAGGCGGAAATTTTAAACCCCTGCCCCACGTGGCTTAAAACCTGGGCCCTGCCGTGGGTGGATGCGAAATCCAAAAAAAAAAACGCGCCAGGGAATGAAGCCAGGGTTGAAGCCACAGTTTGTCGGTATTTGCAGGGGGTCGGCATTTCAGGGTTTCGTAGGTGGTGCAGGATTTCGTGCATGCACAGTAGGTGAATGTCCCTAGTGATGTTGCAAGAGGAAATGTAGGGAACCCTTGGTTGCTTTACGGTGGTTCCGTGTCGAGAGGTGCGAGGAAAAAAACAACTTTTGAGGATGTAGCTTCGGCCCCAGTATGTGGCTTGCTTCCAGTCCAGTCGATTTCAGTCGGTTGCATTGTGCGAGGTTCTCAATAATTACTGTTGGGGTGGTGTTCCTTTACAGTACCATTCAGAGGGACAATTTGAGGTAGTAACTTTAATGACCCTTGTCTTCCCTTTTGATTGCTGGGTTGCTCACTTAAGCAATCAGCAAACAAGGAGTTCCTTTGTCTACCCATTTAGGAAGCCGGGCAAGTTGAGTCGCGCTTCAGCCAAACAAGCCACCTCGAGGAGAGAGTGGCCATGGTTTGCTTCATGCGCACGTTCTCTCGCTCCCCGGGGTTAAAGTGCACTTTACCACTTTTTGGGACAACTCACTTCCTGAGTTCATGAACTTTAGACTTTTTGGGTTTAGACCATTTTGGTGGTAAGTTTAAAGTTTGGACTTTTTTGGGCCATCCACTCAGGCAGTGAGACAACCCAGTTTAGTGGTAAGCAACAAGTACTGTGGATGGACGAAATCCATTTCGCGCCACCCAAGAAACCATGGTTGGAACCATTGTTGGTTGGTATTTACGTTGGGGGATCGAATCATTGGCAAGGTTTCTTAGGTGGTGCAGGATTTCGTCCATCCACAGTATGGACATGTTTTGACCAACCTGCTCAGGAAGTGACATGCCAGTCAAGGTCCCAAAACGTTAACTTTTGCTTTCTGGGCCTTGGGGCAATTGCGTTCTAAATTGCAAGCGTGTGGCTTCGCTTCGATTTTGCTTGGGCGAGATTCTTGCAGTTGGTGGATGGTGGTTGTGTCTTAGAAAATCATTGAGACTACTTGATTTCCTGCGTTTCTGCTTTGGAGCGCCTTGATTCAATTGGTGTTTCCTCTCTCTTCCATCGTTGCATGGCTTCTTGAGGAGACCTTTTGGACTCACTTCCTGAGTTCCTGGCAGGTCCAAAAGTGTTGGATGCGATTTGGCCAGTCCACTCGAGGGGAAGTGACTGGATCAATTGGCAATTCAAGCCTGGCACCTTTCCCCCAGACCAAAAGGCAACCACCATGGTGGGTTTTCCGTGCGGCCTTGCAATTTTCCGATTTCGGAGCCCAAAGGGGATGGCCTTTCATTGTCCAGACCCTATTTCACACCAAGTTTTTCGGAAACCTTAGTTTGCTTGGTGGCCCCCAGCCGTCCCCTTGGCTTTTTGGGCTTTTAGTCTTTGGTAGTTTCCATTCAACCCTTTAAGAGTTAAACTTTTAGCGGCGGATCAGTTCGGGCAGCCCAGTTTTGGTAGGCTTTCAGGGGAAGACCAGGCACGAACCGCAATTCCAGGTGCTGCTGATCCACGGTGAGACGGGCAGCGGCAAAACCACCCAGGTAGGTCAGTACCTCCTGGACAGCGACACCGCCACTCCTCCACGGGTAGCCGGGGGCCCCAGCCTGCGTTGTGTTTCTTCTCTTTTTTTCTTTCGCCGCGGGTGAGTGTGTGTGTGTGTGTGTGGGAGAACTTGCTTAAGTTATTGTTTTTTGGTTTCCCCTGTTGGTTTTAAAGGGAATCTATCACTACTGCAAATATGTTGTTGTTTTTTTTTTTTTCCCCAGGGGTCTTAAACCTCTGGAAGTTTGTGAGATAATTTAGCCCGAAGTCTTTGTGATGCCAAGCAAATCCCCTTCAAAGTGATGGTGTGAATGTCACGGGCATGGCCCATATGGGTATGTGCTTGATTGAGGGTAGTTTGTTTGAATCGGCATTTTTAGGATTCAAAAGCCTATTGACACATCTATTTTGGGCAAAACCAGAGCCATTTGGATGGCTTCCACCCCAAAGTCACTTCTAGGAAAAAGGGGGCATATACTCCACCAGTTGATAGATCCACTTTTTCATGATTTTCCACCTGAGATTGATGAAACCCTATGGATACTGGTTGACAAACAACCAATTGATAGATCAACTTTTTCAGGATTTCGGTACATCCGCATTGGCCTCATGGCTGCAACGATGTTTCTCTCACCGGTGGGCCAGGTGGTGACGCAGCCCCGGCGCTTCGCTGCGGTTTCTGTGGCGCGGCGGGTGGCGGAGGAGCGGGGCGAGGTGGTGGGCGAAAACTCCGTGGGGCGCCTTCAGCTGGAAGTTTGGGGTGGGGGCATGGGGTAGGGTGGGGGGGTGAGGGGGTGAGGTGGGGGGTGAGGTGGGCGAGGCAGTAGGGTCTGGGAAGTGCACAGACCCCTGTAGAAAGACTACTTTCCTCTTGGAAAGGGCCTTTTGGCACTTCCATGTTAGTTTGTGGGAGGGTGGTGTGGGGATGGGGTGGAGTGGGGATTGGGTTTGGTGGGTGGGGTGGGGGGGTTAGTGGGGTGAGGTGGGGCGTGGTGGAGGTAGTAGGGTCTGGGCCCCCTTACCCGCTTTCCAGTCATGGAAGTTGACAGGGGGAACCCCCCAAAAGGAGCTTTGTCTGCAGCAGAATACCTCTCATCAGCTGTTGCAAAGAGGGGAAACTTCTCAGAATTAGTTCCCCTTGTATTTTTTTGCTGTTTTGGGGTCCCCTTTGTTTGCCTCTAGCCAGGCAAAAAAATATGTTTTGTTTTTTTGGGCTGTGCTAATTCCAGCCAGGTAAAGCGGTTGCATTACCCTGAACTGTTCAAAGGCAATCCTTGATCCTTACCTTGGGCCACGAAAAGGGTTCCCTTTGCAGTGGCTCTAGGGAGTATTAGAATTGGCCAAGGCTCCATTTTGAACAGCCCATAGATTGCGGCACTTTGAGGGGTTCTGCCAAAAATGTGCTATTTGCGGTGGGAACTGGAGTAGCATTGATGGACCCAGTTGGGTCGGAGGATCTGCCGACATGTCCTTTGATCCAACTTTCCGTCACCAAACGACTCCCCGGGCCCCCCGCCCTTTCGCGAAATACAGCGCTAAGACGCCCGCCTGATTCAACATGGCCATTTCCAGGAACAAGTGCTCTTGGGTTGGTTGTTTTTCTCCGGCCGAACAAGTCCCGAATCAGTCCAAGTCGAGGTACATGGTGCGGGGGGACACCAAGATGCGCTACGACCGGTGCCAGCTGCTCTTCTGCACTTTGGGGGTGCTGCTGCGAAGGCTCATCGCTCAGGGCGAGGAGGAGATGTTCCGAACCCAGGAGCGGGGGGTTGGAAGCGAGCGGAGGAGGAGGTCCCTCGACTCTTTTCAATGTTTTGGCACCCCTCTTCTAAACGACCTCCTTTGGGTTTAGAGCAGTGGCCTATTCGTTTTCAAGAAAGCGAAAAGACCCCCCCCCATTTAGCCATTGAGCACCCGGTTTTGAGGGCGTCGCGTCATCCAAGCAGCACGCCCAGCCTATCTTTCGATGAAAGCTGAAACTCGTTCGGGCCTTGCCAACCGAAGGTCCCATCTTCGCTCCGAGTGCGGCAAAGCGAGTGGACGCGTGAGTGATGTGAAGTTGGGAGGCGTAGGGATGATGTGGGAGCCCTCCAAAAATAGATCATGCCCCTACCGTACGGTCCTGCAGATTAATCCGATGTTGACATCAGCTTGTTTATCTTTGCCTCTTTTCTTTGGTGGTGTTAACTGACAACCAGGAAGCCACCCACAAGGATGGGTCCACCATTTTCATCTTGAGCCAAGCCCGTGTGTGTGTGTGTGCCCACCAAAAAAAGAGGTGGGTTTTCCTTTTGGTTTCCCTTTCAAACTTTCCAAAATGCGGGGTGAACCCTCAAAACAATGAGGACAATTTTGAAAGAAAACACCCCTCTTCTAGGGGTTGATTCCCCATTCTGTTCAACCATCTCTTTTTTGCAAAAATCAGCCATTTTCCCTGGGATTCCGAAGGTTTTCTGGAAAGAAGGATCCCTGGAAAGAACGGGGAAGGCACCCCTAGACCCTCTGGTCCAAGCAAAGCCACCCAACGCCCCTTAAACGACTTCGTCAGGACATGACGCATTTGGTGCTGGACGAGGCGCACGCTCGCTCCGGCGCGCACGACCTTTTTTGTTCCCCTGCGTAGCGCTTGGTGAAGCTGACAAAGATATTGCCCTTTTTGGGTTGGTTTGAAGGGAAACCAACCCAAAAAAATGATGACATTTTTTTGAGGGAAACCAAGAGGAAACCATCTCCTTGGGGGGTGGGGGTGGGATTCCTATGAGACGAACGCATGATAACGTGAGTGGGTGCCCTTGCAACCATGACTTTGACTTACTTACCAAGTTGGTTGAACATTCAAGGCATGGTTTGGCTTCAGGGGTACCGTCCGAAGTGGCCTCAGTTTATGTTGGATCCCTCCGCCCACTAACAGTGGATGTTCGCCCCTTTCGCGCTTTGTGCCGAGGTCTGGTCGCGCGCGTGCAGCGTGCTTAATGAGTTGTCGCGTGAGACCTGGGGTCAACGCGATAGACGGCGTGATCGTGTTGGCTTAGAGGGAGGCCAACGAAAACACCATCCTTTTGCCGGAAACCAAGAGGAAGCCGCAAAGGGAAGCCAACGAAAACCATCCTTTTGACGGGAACCAAGAGAAAGAAAACCAAGAAAACACCATCTCCTTGGGGGTGGGGGTCCGATTCCTATGAGAGAACCGCAGTCAGCGAGCCGTCAGGTGCACGAGAGGAGTCTAGACATGGACTTTGTGCTTACGCTGCTGCACCACATCCTGCCCAAGAGGCCCAAGCTCAAGGCCCTGTCCGTGGGGTCGGGGTTGGGCGCGGGCTGGTGGGGTCGGCGAGTCGGGGTCGAGGGTCGGTTAGCATGGGGGGGTGAGGGGGCTAAGTGCGAAGGAAAGCGAGGTGGCCTGTGTCGAAACTAGAGGCTCTTCTGAAGGGACACCGACTAGCCATCTGTTTGGTTTGAATGTACGCTGCTGGGGAGGCGCCAATAAGAGGCCAGGAGAGAGGTACCCGGGCAGGCGCGTTTTTGGCATTTGCCCCCTACAAGAACCAGGCGTTCAAATCCCCAAAACCGACTGGCAGCAACTGAGCACACACACACACAAACAGGCACACACACACACAGACTCAGGCACCGACAGAGACACAGACACACAGACACAGAGACACAGACACAGACATCGACACTGACACACGGACACGGAGACGGGCACGCACACCGATACGCCCACACACACAAACCCATCCGCAGGTGCTGCTGATGAGTGCCACCATGGACGTGCAGAGTCTGGCAAGGCTCTTCAGCCAGAAGCCGCCGGTGCTCAAGATACCTGGGAAGCCTGGCTTAAGAGGTGATCACCCCACGTGCTATCCCGGAATCATGAGAAGTTATACGTGTAATTATATACAGATATCACTCTTTTGGCCCATACTAGGTGCGTTTCCCTTGGCAGGGCAGATTCGTTTCGTGGGAGGGGCCTGAAGACAGACACCCATTCAGGGTCCGCCTTTTCCTAAGTTCCCCTTGTCTTTTTTTGAGTTGGTACCGTTTTTATTTGTGGTTTTGAGGGAAGGCCTACAGGAGCACCGAAGCTGAATTGGGGGGTCCCCTACAAAAGCCACGCGTTAGGCGAACCTTCCCGGTGGAGGTGATGCACCTCGAGGAGGTCGAGGAGTCCGAAACGACGCTGAGACGGGTTGGTATTTGTTCGCTGCCTGAAACCCCCGGACAAACAAATCTGACCCTTGCGTTTTAGTGGAACCTCCCAACCACCCGACCACCCCTGCTTAGTGGGAACCATCCAACCAATTCTTAGTGGAACCACCCAACCAAGGGGTGGAACAACCAACCACCCCTTCTTAGTGGAAGCACCCCACCACCCCTTTAGGAACAACCCACCCACCGACTTATATAAGTGGAACCACCCGTGATTTGTATGCTCTGGATTAATTGGGAGTTGACATAAGTATCTTTATTAATGCGTTGACATAATCATGATGCGAACCCGGATCAATAGGGTGTCAGGGATCTCAAGTCAGTGTGTCTCCTTTTGATGGTTTTAAACGGACACCAACAGGAAGCCACTCATTCTGCTTGTCCCAGACACCCGTTTCGCGCCTGTCTCCCCTGTTTTTTGGGCGCACCTGACTCCCGTCGTCACTTTTCCAGGTTTGGTTACCATTCCCTTGAGAATGGGGTTACCGAAAAGAAAGGGGTCAACTGGGCCCCTTTTTAAAGGGTCATGGAGAGTCTAGGTAGTTGTGTTCCGCAACAGTTTGGGCCCATGCTTTTGTGCCATCTCAAGAAGTGATCTCGATTGAGGCCATGTGTTTCTATTTCTCGCCTTGGCCGTGTTGCAATCACAGGACCTCCTGGGCAGCACGTACCAGTGGAGCGCCAGCGCCGGGAAAGGCTGGGAGGCCATGAAGGGCAACGGAGAACTGGGGGGAGGGGGATGGAGGAGGTACGGTCCCTTGGAGCACCTTCTTGTTGTTGGCATGTTTTTGTTCTTTGTTCTTTTGGTTACCTTCTTGTTGTTGGCATGTTTTTCTTTGTTCTTTTGGTTCAGGATGGTGGACGTCCAGATTGATCCAGATGAATCCAAGTGGGCCATACAAATCAGGGGTTGTTCCCCTGATCATCTGCAGGGGATTCCCGAGTTGACTTTCCACTCGCTGCCAAGAAGTTGGGCACGGGCAGGCAATATCGAAATCCGCCTGCGCGCAAACACAGTGGAAGCGATGGACAAGTCGCCACGGAAATGACCGCCCCGGGACAAAACATGGGAGGCCCTTGTTGTTTGTCAGCTGTCTTTGAGGGTAAAAGCTTCTTTTAGGAATTCAAGGAAAAGAGAAGGTCACCCATTTTGTCAGTTACCTCCCCTTTTTCATCGCCTAATTTTGCACAGGCTCTATGTTTTGACCACGGATCCATTTGGGTGTGGTTCTTCTTGAGGGTTTCCTTCGTTTAGCGCGTGTAAAGGAAGGTCGAAGGGAAAGCCACCGGTTTGGGGGTCTCCTAAAAAAGACCCCAAGTTGCTAAACTCTGCACTGCCATGCACTGCTGTACCCATTTTGGAGTTTGCCGGCCGCATTTTGTGTACAGGGCAGCGAGGCGAACGAGAGGGGCGACCGCAAGCGCGATGCAGGGCGTCCCAGCTGGGGAGGAAGTCCCGGTCTTTGTGTTTTTCTTGGTCCAGGTATTGACATTATCAGCTTCCCCCTGATTTGCCATCCAAACTGCAAATTAGGGGCTATCAGAGTTTCATGGGGATGAGGGTCTAGCGGGTTGTGCTGCATGAAAGTACTCAACATGGAAGCCCCAGAACCATGCATTTGGGGAATTTGATCTTGGGACTCCGGTTTTTTGGGTTTATGTTGGTTTGCAGGGGAGTAATGTTGAAAGGCTTGGATAACCCCTCGGATCGGTACGGCCAATCTTTGGACCCACGAAGCCACGTGAAACTCCATCTCGCCCCGGCCACGCTTGGCCCCCAAAATCGCGCAGGGTAGTGTCATCCAGTCTTTTACTTGCAAGATGTCAGTTTTTCTAGCATAGGTTATATTCATTGTTATTGAGGGTGGCGCCAAAACAGCGTTTTGTGCTACCCAGAGTCTCCATGACCCCTAGAAAAAGGTGTCATGGCCCCTTATTGTTTAGGCAAGGACCCCATTTTTTTAAAGGGTCATGGAGAGTCTAGGTACCCAGATTGGGGCAGGTTCTGAGCTTCGCAGCTTCGTGAGGCTCGGCCGGGACCCATGGACTACGCGCTGCTGGCGGACTTCATCTTAACCCTCGCGGATGGCGGCCAGGCGCTTTTTCGCTGGCGAAAAGCGCCGGGTGGGCTGGCAAGGGAGTCGAGGCTGGTCGTGTCATTGGACGGAAGTGTCCATTTGCTTAAGAATATGTTTTGTTTCCCCTGCTGGATATATATATATATATAGTTTTGCCATTGGACTTAGGCAAATGAACAGAAAGTTCTTAAGCGATAGCGCTTTACAAGTCCTTAGCAGCCTTTTGGCGGCTTACTCAGCGGTCTTTGCTTGGTGGAAAACGGCTGCGACAGGTGTCACAGCTTGCATACTGGCAAAGAGACAAGGGGATGCCAGGTGTCCATGCTGGGAATCTTTCGTCATGATTTCTTGGGCAAACACCAAGCTTTTCGATCCGAGTGTAAAACGCGCGGTTTATCCCGTGAAGAATTCAATTCGGCACCCTTTGCTGGACATACGTTTGTGAAAACTGATGTCCACCAGCCAGTGAGGACGTTGCAACTCTGAAAACTCATAGCCTTCTGAGACGCTTCCAGATGGGTGTGCGTATTTTTCCGCGGAAACCACAAGGAAAACCGAAGCCATTTTGGTTGGGTTGCCTGACTTTCAGACAAACCCCATACTGTGGATGGTTGCGAAATCCATTGCAAAATCCATTTCGCCGAATCAAATCAGAAACCAGGGTTCTTGGGTGGTGCGAAATGGATCTCTCACTCCCTGAGTTCCTGGACTTCAGTCACTTTTTGGGCCTGGACCATTTTGGTGACTTGACTTGGCCAATCCACGGGTCAAGCCAAAAAGCTTGGCGACTTGGCCAAGTCAGTAAAACAAAAAAACAAAGTTCGGATTGACTTGGGAAATCCACTCGATTTTTTTTTGTGAGATGTTGCGACCTTCCCTTTTGGTCCCCGGCTTTTGTAGAGGCTCGCGAAACGGGGGGTCTCCCATGAAACCATGGCACCACGGGAATTTTCAAGGTGGCTCCCAGCCATCCAGTTCCTGAGCTGTTTAGCTGTTTCGCTTTTTAGGGTTTAGTGGGGGTTTCCATTTAGCCCGCTAAAAGTTAGTCACTTCTAGCTGGGGGATCTGAATGCAGCCCAATTTTATCCAGCAGTTGTGTGGTAACCCCCTTGGCTTTGAAGCGGATTGGTGGTATGGGAACCCTCCATTTCACCACCAAACCAATTTTGTTTAAGAATATCTCAGTTGCCCAAAGCCGACCTTTTAACCTTTTGGTTTTCCAATTTGGTCTATCTTTAGTAAAGGCCCCAAATGGTTCACCTTTCATTCCTGGATCCTCTGGGCGACTGAGATATGTTGCTTTTATTTTTCCCTGTTGGCTTCAAAGTAGGAAAATTGATTTCACTGGACATATTCAAATTTTCCCGGGCGAAAGAGCAAATGGCGAGAGAGACTGCCAAACCAACTTTGTTTAAGACTACTTTGTTGATGTGTCCCTGTTGGTTTTAAAGGGAACTAATCACTGCTGGATTTGTTTGGGGTCTTAACCAAATGGAAAACCGCCAAACCAATTTGGCCTCCAGGCAAAGCCCTGGCCGGAGGGCGCCATCCTCGTCTTCATGCCTGGCGCTGGCGAGATCTCGCGCCCCTCGACAAAAGGATCCCGGGTGGATCGGGTGGATCGGCTGGGCGCCTCGGAGGACATGGAGCTTGGATCTCGAAAAGCTCCCGCGGTTTTCCCCGCGGGTTTTTTCTTCTTTGAACACTCGGTGATTTTTTTGCGTTTGCCTCCCCACCCTCCGTAAAAAAAGAAGAAGAGAGCAAAAAAAAACAACAACGAGTCTCAGGTGAATTGCTGAAAAGGGTTCCCTAAACAACGAAATGCCCGCTGCATGCGGCCCTCTCTCAGATGAATAACAAGATGGGTTCCCCACAAACACAGGAATCAACACCGGAAAGGGAGCTGAGTTTCTGCCCCTTTTGGAGGCCTCCCCAAACACACCCCCATGAACAACTTGGTGCGCTCTTGCAAACAGTGTTCAAACAGGGGGCGGCCTTCATTCAGCCAGGGCCTTCAGTCCTGAGTTACCACGAGTTGTCAGCGTTGGGGGGGGGATCGCCATTTGCTGCTCATTCCCTGGAACAAGATTATCATCCTTGTAATGTCCTATCGCTTTTGGTTGGTCTTCTCCAAAATATGTCTTATCCTGTGTACCTCTGCTGAAAGGCAGCCTACATTTGTTTCCAAACCAAAACAAAGTGTCCGTTCAAAAAAGGCCGTCTTTCAGATTGATATAAGGGGCGAATTGATTACACACATGATTCTTTGATCATGGATCATGACTAAGTTTGGTGTAAGTTTAAGTGGCTAGCACCCCTTGCTTCAATGGATTGAAACAGGGTGAGCTGGGAGGGGGGTTGGGGGCGGAAGCGATGTCTGATGTCTCGGTTTTCGATCGCTTGGTGCTGTGGATGGTTGCGACATCCGTTCGCATCACGAACTGAAACCATGGTAGAAACCATAACATTGGTTGATATTCACGTTGGGGAATCGAATCTTTCCAGGGTTTCTTAGGTGGTGCGACACGATTGTGATCCGTCCACAGTATCACCTTACTGTACATCTTTGCCCTTGACTAAAACGATGAACCGGAAAGGCTTAACACCCAGGGTTGAAGGTTGACCAATGCGGCAATCTTCGGAGGACCTCCACGTCACTCCCACTTCAGTTCCGGGGTAGGGCAATTTTCGGAACGGTTCATTTGCTTTTGCCACCAAGACGCTCATTTGGTTCACTTGGTCCCTCCATGTTCCGCCCCTTGTTGTTTTCTTATGCTTCTAATTGGTACCCCTAAAATCTACAACGGATTCTCTCCCCCGTCAGTGGAAGCAAACAGTGATTCTATCCTGGGCCCAGTTTTTCACCGTTTCACTTTTCGCCAAGGATTGATCAGCACCTTGGAAAGGAAGGGCGGCCGCAACGTCAAAGCCTTACCTCTGCACGGCTCTCTGTCAGGCAGGCGTGTCAGCTGTGGGTCTGCAAGGCCTTTGATCTGCCATGCTCAAAGCTCCCTTTGCGCTGAGTACGGCGGATCACGGCCAAGGAGTTTGCGCACCATTGTAAGGGATGGAGGAAGGGTTGCATAAAGTTGACTGTGATATGCTTTGCTTTTGCCAGAATGGAGTACCCGAATGTATTAAAGCACCTTGCGGTGTTTCAAGTTTGTTGCCTTCACTTCGATGGATGGCCCGAATCAGGCCCACCGAAGTACACGCAAATGCAAGCAAAGCATGCAAATCTGGTTTTGTCATGCTTGTGCGCGTGCGCGTTTCATGCCAGAAAGCGGCAAGGCGAGCAGCAGCGAAGATGCTTCGAGGTGTACCCTGCTTCAGGGCCTCGCAAAGTCATCGCCGGGTGGCTGCAAATATTCACGGATTCAGATTTCCAGGTAATGGGAACTCCCGAATCATAACTGCCTGTTACTCAATACGGGGGTTTCCCCTTCGAGTGGGGGTGCGCTTTTGGAGGGTCCCCCACTCCTCCATTAGTAGGCCGGCTTCTACTTGAAACTTGGTCAACAATCTGGTTGATCTCTCAAGTAGGAGAACCTGCTTCACTTCCACAATGTTGGTAGAATGTGCATTTTCTGGGGTCTGCCCAGAACATGTTTTGTTTGGAGCACCCCAGGTGCGGGTGAAGTTTTCAGGCTGCCAAGTACTCAATCACCGACCTCTGGCGTTGCAGCGTGCCTTCGCAGGAACCCCAACAGGATTGTAGGTCCCGAGTTATTTCATTTCAGGAGGTCAGGATTCTAGGGGTTGATTCCCCATTCTGTTCAACCATCGTTCTTATAAAGAAACCGGCTGTTTCCCCTAGGTTTTGATGGTTTCCTGAAAAGAAGGATCCCTGGAAAGAATGGGGAAGGTACCCCCAGAAGGATGTTCAGTTGATCCTCCGAGGTGTCGACCAACGTTGCGGAAACTTCCGTCACACTGCCCGAAGCCCAGGCGTTTTTTTTCTTCTCTTTTTTTTTTCTCGTCGCTGATTGGTCGGAGGGAGCAATCTGTGTTTTTAACGTTGTTAGGGTTTAGGGTTAGGGTTTAAATAAATGAAAACACCTACAAAAACCTCTGACTTTTGCATTTTGCAGGTTGCGTGTTGCAGGCTCAAGTTTGTTCCCTTGTTTCTTGGAGGACGCCAGAATCACCGAGTGGATATATCTTTGGTGATGCTGGTTTTGGAGGAGACCACGCTTTACGCATGTATTTGCGGAGGGTAGCTCACATCCAGTCCTGCCGCGCCTGAGGCCAGACGTGACGATCGCTACTTGGACCTAGTATTGGACATTTTCGGACCTTTTGTTTACGTCATTCCTTCCTTTTTGTAGATGGCAATTGAATCCGCAAAGACAGAAGGGACGAAGGGTCCCCATGGACCTTAGGTGGTGGACACGTGCCGTGAACGACGCCTCACCCGCGACCACGACCACACGTCCCTGGCCCCTGCACTCTTGGAGCGGTTCTGTGCCAAGGATGGGTCCAGGGGGCGGGTAGGGTCCAGGGACCAAAAATTTGGGTGGTTCCCAAGCCACGTCCTCAGGTTTTAAGCTTTTTGGTGTTTATGGTGGGGATTTCCTTAGGTGGTTGGGTGTCCGTTTAACCCACTAAAAGTTCAATTTTTCCCGGGGGTGCCTTGTTGTGGAGTCTGTCTAGAGGGGAATCAATTGGAAGGCCGCGATTTTGTGGGGTTGCCTACGTTGAGACAAGCCCATGTGTTCGTTTCATTTCCAATGAAGGAAGCTAAAAGGGTGTGGAGAATTGTAAGGCTCCATGGGCTTCAGGTGCGAAAGGATCTTCCAGCGGTTTATGCACAGCTTCGGGCTCCGTTTGGTGCGGCCCGGTGGCCGGTGGTTTTCTTTCCCTGATTTGGGTTCCTTAAAAGCACAGAGGTTGAGGTGTGTTCAAAGTTAGGTGTGGGTCCCGATTTCCCTTGAAGCGAGTCTAGAAGATCATGGTTGGGGAAGATCGCTTGGACTTTTGGGTGAGCCGATGACACGCTTGTTTTCTTGTTCTTTTTTCCGGCCGCTACTTTTGGGCTTGCTCTTGCTTGGCTGGGGGCTCTTTGGCCAATGAGTTGCAGCTTGCCTGGGGGTCCTCTCCACAGGGTACCAAGAGGCCGATAGAGGACGAAGCCTCGAAGGGGGGCATTTGGAGCTGTGGGTTTCGAACGATGCAGTTTGGAGCTGTGAATGAAACGATGCACAGCCGTTGGGCATTGTAAAGTATGGCATGGTTTCGGTTGTGCCGTAGGGAGGAGGCCTTCTTTACTCAACTCGTTTCAGCGCGGTATGGGCATGGGTCGAAGCTTCGGATGTGTTGCAACAAGCTCGAGGGCTGCGGCTAAACGTTTCTGCCCTGTTCTCCATTTCTTTTTCTTGCTGTCTCAGCCCCCTATAATTCATCCCTATGGCTTCCTTTAAGGGAATCCCTGATTTATTCCCAACACCCTGGGTCGGTTTCCTATGCGAGGGTGTTGGAAGGCAACTTTCCTTTTGGGGGATCCCCCGCCCTTCGCTTCCATGATCTTCTGAAAAGCGGGGAACCCCTTCAAACTTGGCTGCTCACAAATCGTCACAGCAAAATCCCCATGTACATAGTGCCCACCCACATTCAAGGCCCCCAAACTTAAACTCGCATGTCCAAATGGGTGTCATTTGGAGTCTCCAAGGCGCCAGTGCATTTGTGCATTTCGGTGTACTGAGAATTGTGACTCTCTTTGCGGGTACCTCTTCCCAGTTGCCCAGTGGTGCCCCCAATTTTGTCCATCCTTTTTTTTGGGGGAAGGGTTCCGATTCCTTTCAAGTCAAGCAGGCAAGAAAAGGATGCCGATGCTTTTTTTCCCCTCCACTGGGCATCTGAGTCTTGTTGCTTGGGCGCGCGAGGACTCCCTGCAGCAGCGCCGGGGCCGCGCCGGCCGGGTGCAGAAGGGCGTGTGCTTCAGGCCGAGGAATTCGATCGGCAGCGTCCATCGCCTGGGCGGTAAACCAGCCGTTTCCATGGGTGCAGCTTGGTGTAGCTGGGCAGCCTTTGGCCAGTGAGTTGGGGCTGGGCGCTCTGGTCCTCCAAACGAGGCAAAAAGCGGAGAGAATCGGCCCCCAGAAAGGCTCGCAGGCCGGAATGGTTCACTTGCCCCCTCTGGAAGGTTTTTTTTTGTTTGTTTTTTCGAAGCCGTAGGAACTGACATGTACCACCAGTAAGAAATCGGATATCTTTGTCCTTGCCTAAAGCACCAAATACGTCCATGCGCAAATCCTGATTTTTGGGTTGCACGCTACCCTAGTCTTTTGCACCATCCTTGGCTCGCGCAAGAATAATCCCCGGCCGGCTTGTGCTGCTCGCAGGCTGCTGCCACGTAGCCTGGCGGCAAGCGTGGCTTGTGGCTGTGGCTTCCCTGCTATGTCCGGCCAAAGCGAGCAGGCGATCCGCAAGATCCTTTCATTGGGATGCGCAAGGAACCGGTCCCTTAGTGGCTTTGTTGGGATTGTGATTCTTGGATTGGCCAACCCAAACCATTTTGAACAGGCAAGTGATTGGCTACTCAGGTTATCAGCCGTGAACAACAGGATTAGCCCAACTCAGGGGGGTTGTGAGTGGGTCAGAGGCGAAGTTGCCAACAACTTACCTGGCCCCTGAATGGGATCTTAAAGCTACCTTGGTATGGTACAAAACGCTGGAGATTGCCGCCACCCCACCAATGAACAGAACCCAAAGGTCCCCACAGAGAAGGACATGATTTTGGGCCAGTTGGCGGTTTTTGGACGCAGCCTTGAAGTCTGCAATCTAGGGTTTTGGGCGTGCTGAGGCCCAGCCAGTTTCCTTAAGGGCAACGCGCCTTGGGTATTCTTCCCCCCCACCCCGAATCGGAACCTGGGTTTGTCTCAAACTAGAGGTCGGAACCCCCGGTGTTTTTGTTTCTTCTTTTTTTCTTTGACTTTCCAAAGAGAAACACAAAAGGGCGCCCTCAAACGACACCCACATCCCTGGGCAGAAACCGGTGTTCGCAACCGGCGTTTTTTTGTTGCCTTCGAGTCGAAAAGCGTTTTGGTTGCCTCGAACCTGGAACCCAGGTGCCAAGCAGCCTGGGTTCGAAACAGGTTGCATTCAAGTGGCGCGAGGACAAAATGGGAAGCTCCACAAAGCTAAACATTGGAAGGTTGTCGGATGGTCAGTTTATGGGTCAGCAAAGGGCCTCCCTGCAGCTTATCTGACACCCCCTTGGGCCCGCAATCATTTGTCCCCGCTGGCAAGGATCCGTGTACGCCGCTTGCTTGCAAGATGGGGGTTGGACTTGCGGGACACATGAGTGCAAGTGGAGGGTGCAATTTACCATAATTCACCCCTTTCATGGCGTGCAATTTTCAGCCAACCTTGGGGAACATCCCTTGCCAGCTTTAGCCATTTCACATGGCTGGTCTGACCGATGTGACCAAAAACATGTCCCCAAAAGGACTACTTAATTATGTTGAAGACACTCAGCCTCTTTCATCAAACCCACAAGTGGACCAAGTGACGAAGCTACTTTATATGTATATATAACACACTACATACAGTTTATACATATTATATAGCTATATATATATATATTGCATATGTTAAGCTATAAATGGATTTGCCATAGATATGCTCTATGTATATTCCCTCTCTCTTTATACATATGGATATACAGATATATTTGTATTGTTCATTTGTTCATGTATTTCACACACACACACACCTGTATATATATATATATGTATTGGTACCCCCCCCCCCTTTTGGAGGCGGCTGTGCATATATTCTAGAAACCGTTTTGGATGATCCTTTTGTGGATTTCACCTGTTCTTCCCTCTGGTCCTTTTTGAGTAATCTTTTAGTACTCGCTTAACCTTCTACAGGGGAACCACAAAAGCCACATCCAAAACGTTTTCTAGATATATATATATATATATGCTAGGTCCCCCAGTAGTGCCCTTTTACCCTTTTTTTGGGGAAGGCTCCACTATCAAATCTGGAGGACCCAGTTTACATGGTTCTGGGTCGACCATTGTTGTACCGGGTTTTGATTGTGACATATATATACTTACCTCTTAAAAACACAACTTTTCAACTTTTTGGGTAACATGGGCTATATGTCTGTAAAAGATTAACTTCCCCAATCCTTGGAGTTTTAAGGGGTAAGTATATATACACATGGGTATATCCTGCGGCTCTTGGAACCAGAGAAAGAAAATTCTCCGAGGAGAAGCTGCCGGAGGCCACGGCGCCGGAGATCGAAGCTCTGCCCTTGGAGACGCTGGTTCTCCAGGCCATGTCTCCAGCTACAAACCTTTCCTTGTGGTTTCCTAGGGAATCCTTTTCTTTCGGCCAAAAAGGTGATGTTTAAAAAGGAAGAAGAAAAACAACACAGAAAGGGCGATATAGGTACCTTGACTCTCCATGACCCTTGAAAAATGGTTGGTCATTGCCCAAAAGAAAGGGGTCATGACCCCCTTTTTCTAGGGGTCACAGAGATTCTAAGTATAAACCTTTCCGTGTGGTTTCCTAGAGAGTCCCGGGAATCCCGAAACGGTTGATTTCCACCCACCAAGGATTTTGATGGAGCCGTTCGACGGTTTGGGGGGGTCTTGGAAGGCTTGGACCGTGTTCCTTTTAAAGGGACTGGGTGCTTGTCAGGTTCGGAGGGTAGATGGTAGGAAGGTTTCATAGCTGTGGATGGTTGCGAAGTTAATTCGCACCACTTTGAACCATGGTTGAAACCTTGGAACCACTTTCGAATGTTCCCCCAGCAAATCTGCAGGGTGCTTAGTATATGACGAGTAGCCATGGTCATACCCCACCAAGGGGTTGGCCAAACCCTGCTTGAGAACTCCGTCGCCCCCACGTCCCTGAGGGCTTTGCCCCAGAACACCTGTTGGCCCTTAGGTGCGTCTACAAGCTTATAAAGCTGTGCTAGTAGAACCAAAGTTGCGTGGGCCCTGCTCATTTGGGATTGTCTCCTCTAAGTGGTGTGTGCAACCCAACTCTGAGAATCAAAGGGAGCCAATCCACTTTTCAGGTCTGTTTGGCTATGAACTTTGACAAGGAGCCACCAAAAAAAAGAAAGACCAGCCACAAGTGGTTTGTGGACATGAATCCCCACGTTGTTCAGAAATTCAAAGGATCCCCGATCAAAACCCCCGCCAATCTCTTCAAAGATATGACTATTTGGTAACGGATCTGTGGACTAACCTTCTGGTTGAAACTTGGTGGGGGTTTCCGAATTGGACCCACAAAAAGTGAGACACCCTGCTTTTTCAGAGAGGTCAACTGCAACCAAGAGATATTCACACATACATATATATATATATATATACACCAGTGTTTTCTGGGAAAGGTTTACAAACAAACTTTGCCGGGGGGGGCTTACCAAATATATATATATATATATATATATATGTGTGTGTGTATATATGTGTATATACATAGCTGTATACGTATATGCACAGAATGGCTATATAGTGCCTGTAGATCCCAGATTCGCTTTGCCAGGTGCAGGCGGCGGGCTTCGCTCCCGAGGCCTTCCTCCGGGACGCGCCTACGCCCCCCGAGGCACAGGTGGTGGCCCAAGCGCGCCATGAGCTGCGGCGCATGGGCGCGCCACGGCGGAAGGGAGGACATGGCACACGCTCCAAATTGCCGCAGGGTCTTTGCAACCCGAGGGTTGCAAAACTGATTGCTCCTTCTGGTTTACACAGCAGCCCAAAAAGTTCAAAAAGCACGCGGCCATACTGCAGAAGGCGAAGCCAACATAAGGGAGAGCCAGCCAGAAAACAAAAGGCAAGCAAGCCAAGCACCAACATCGGGAAGGTGGAGCAATGGTGCCAGGTGAGGTTTGTTTGAGGGTCGACGCTTTGATTCAGGTAGACGCGTTGGGAGCGAGTACTGTATTCGGCCGCAAAGCGGCCTTGGCTTCTATGAAAGATCAACGCCGCTTTCCGCCGCTTTCGTGGGAGGCAAAGGGCCTTTGGCTTTTGCCATGCCGAGGCACTCTCCCTCAGTGACGGTCGCCTGGATGCAAAGAGAGTTCTGGCGGCAAGTGGTCGTGTCCCACTTGGATGTTCCGCTCAGCCACTTGAGCGGGTTGTCCCCCGTCAACGGTGGCAAACTCCACTTCTGGGGGCTTCAGCCAGGGGCGCAAGCTAATATGGGTGTGGCTCAAAATTAAACCTGAGGGGTTCCGCAGGTTTTGGTCTATGTTTTCACTTGCCAGGGTTCCATTTTGGAATTCCGGTTTTTTGAGCCACAGCCATATGGGACAAAAGCAATCCTTCTCAGAGGACTGTTCTTTGGGGACCCCTTGGGGCGCTGCACCTCCAGCGCCAGGAGCTTGGTGGCCCCCAGCCGCCCCAATAGCTTTTTAGGCTTTTATGGTTTGGTGGTAGTTTCCATTTCACCCACTAAAAGTTAGTCACTTTTAGTAGGGCATTTGAGGGCAGCTGAGGTAGATACGCTGATCGATACTTGTTGAGTCCAGAGATGGTACTTCTGCCGCAGCGAGCTTCCTTCGCCTCCCGTGCCAACATGGGACGATTGTCATGCAGGCTTCCTTCGTCTGCAGCTGCCCCGCCAGAGCCTCCATGAGCCTCCAAACCCTCCGCCTCACAGCTCTCATCCTCATCATCCTGCGACACTCAGGAGGCCCCTGGAAAGATCGGTTCCTTTGGAACGCGCGCCTTAGATTCCAGATCTGGCTTCATTAAGTTGAGATGTGTTCAAACACAGCCCTCTAAATGGCTTAAAGGTAAACCCGCTGGTAGCATGTTTTGCCCGAGGCGAAGACGCGGTCACCGCTTTGGGCCGTCACCTGGCCGCTCGGCCTCCTTTCCATGTCTTCTTTTGGGACCGAAACGGGGTGAATCCCGTTTTTGGTTTCTTGGTGGTTTTGGTCTAGGCTCCGGAACCTTCCAACGACAGGTTTTTTTGGAAGACACACTTTGCATTAGTCACGATTCAAAGATTCAAAAGTGTACACTTTTATTTGACTGGTCATTGCCCAAGTGAGTATCTAATCAAACGGGTGGCTTGAACCTCACATGCATGAAAAGCCTTAAAGGAATGCATAACTACTGGAAATATGTTGTCATGTTTCAGACTTAGCGAATGGAGGATGTTTGGATGGGTCCCTGGGGTCCCTGTTTAGTGGGGGTTCCTGGTTTATTAGTCAGGGGTCAACAATTCCATTTTTTCTGCGATTGCCGAAATGTGGGACTCTGAGTCTAGCTGGGTGAGGATATTCATAGTAATAGCCGTGTTTGTTTCAGACTCTTCAGACCCCCCCCCCCAACAAGAAAAGCAATGCACGGGCTGTGAACACCCCGATCGATGCCTGTTTTTTTTTTTTCCCCTTGTAGGGTTGAGTTTCGTTGTGGTGTGATGGTGTTTAAAAGGGGGATGTGCGTACACCTACGCCCGTCCTCCTGGCATCCTTTGGCACACGCTTTCGAAGCACCCCATGAGACATATGGCCCAACAGCTATTGGAAGAGGGCTTCAGGATGTCTAAGGGCTGATGGGTCAATTTGAGGCAACAGGCGGCCCTCAGCTCTCCGCTTCTTCAGGGGCTTGTTTCAGACATCACCTTTTGGAAGGGCGAATGTCAAGGGCGGAGGTGGGAGCCTTGGAGCAAGGCTCCCTGCATTTCCCTCAGGCGGTTGTTGGGCCTTCCTCCTTGGCGACCCCGAATGCGTTGTTTCCTTCAGGTGTCCCTTCAAAATGAAAATATAAAGAGCAGCGGCGTCCCAACCGAAGCCACTCACAAAATGAGACGTTGAGCCAGGAGGCTCTGATTTTGGGAGCTGAGGCAGCGCTGCCCTGCGACGTGCGGGTGGGGAGGCGTGGTCTCGGAGCTGGGAGATCTAATTTGTATTGAAGAAGGAGCGACCAGGAGTTATGCGCGGACATGGTTGCCCCGTGGTGCCCCTTTTCTTGTCTTCAAAGGCTTTTGTTGCTTTAAGATCAAATGCCAGAAAATGGATGCCCAGAATTTCCCATGTCAGCGGCACTTAACATCCTCAAATAGAGAGCCAAACAGCTCCATTACCCTCCAGTATTCATTGGTCAGCTGTTTGATTTTGTTGAATCGGTTGATTTAATGAAAGTGTGGCTCTGCAGTCTAGATGTTTGTTCTTTGCTCCTTATTCCTGTTGATGTTTAGCGTGCCGGAACTTTGCTTGCTTGCCTGTGTGGTTTTGCTGCACATATTTTAGGGTTTGGACAATGCCGGTCTTTGCAATGCCAAGCTTGGACAGTTGAGAATCGCCGCTGGGATCTAGTCGTTCCATGCAACAAATGGAACCCTAGGAGCGTAACCGGCTGAGAGACCCAGCCCTAAGGCTTGCGGCTGTGGCCCAACATTGCACTTTGCTGAATGGGTGTGTCCTTTTTTGACGGGTACCCTCGGTTCTATCAGGAAACCAGAAGGAAACCAACCAATTTGGGAGGGTACTCTTCTTTGAGAAAACGGGAAGCCAAAAGGAAAACGCTCTTCAGCCTGGTTGTTCCACTTCAACACTGTAATTATGTAACACACATGTCCATCAAAATGATCCCTCCAGTCAATATGATACCCCTATTAAGCTGTGTATCAATCATATTGGCCCTCCCTTTCCTCCAAATAAGCGGTTTCCTCTATGTCTCTGTTGGACAAATTGACCAACGGATGCCCAAGTGAGGTCCGCCATTCTAGTTGGTCGCTCTACCTTGATTGATTGGGGCAAAAGTAACGCCTCTATATAAAAGCCTCCAACCAATTTCTCACTCCCTGAGTTCTGCTTCGGACTCTGGTCACTTTTTGGGCTTTTTGAGCGGCAAATAGCAAGCTTGGACTTTTTTGGCCAGTTCACTTAGGAAGTGAGCGCTATACATACATACATACATATACACACACATATATATATATATATTCCGGATGTACATAGTAGAGCCAAACTTGGAGTCTTGGGCGCAGCTCCATGTTTCGGAGGCTGGTGGTGCTAGGGGCCTTCCTCGGCAGCTTGGCAGCATCCATGACGCTCTCAGACATAAGCAGGGTCCCTTAAAGGACACATTGGGGCCATAAACAACAAAAAACACCTTCACCTGCTTGATTTATCTGATCCCCTTGTAAAGTAATTAGGTGGTTTTCTCATCTGAGAACCCTGGTTGCTTATGGGATCAGTATTGGAACAGGTTTACTTGGGGCCGCTAGAGACGTTGGCACAGGTCAAGGGCCACGGCCATGATCTGACCAAGTTTTGACACATGTAAGCTAGGCAATCCCCACTGCCCTGAACATAAAACCAAGGGAGGGAGGTTCCATGGAATTGCATGTGTAGGTCGATCTTCCCTTTTGTCTGGGGAAAACAGACCCCCCCTCCCAGGTAAAACAGTGAAAGAAGCTGCCCATTTATGTTCCCGGTTTGAGGCTTGATTTCCAACTCTTAGCAACTTTAGTCACTCGGACCTGGCTGTCACTGCCATTTGGTTGGCTGCTTGGTGCGTTAGGTGTGGCTTCCGCGGCCTGCAGTATTGCCGGCTGGCTATCCGTGCGATCGCCCATGCCCAAGGCGACGCGATTGGCTTGTTGTTGAGTTGGAGCGAGCCATGGAAGTACAGTGCAAGTACATACTGTGGATGGACGAAATCCTGCACCACTGGAGAAACCATGGGAAACAAATATGTACAGGCGAATCATGATTGCAGGGTTTCTTAGGTGGCGCAGGCTTCGGGCCATCCAAAGTAGGTGTCCTGGTTAGGTTAATTTGGTTAGACATAGATGGGTTCCACGGGTTTAGATTGGTTTTATTGTGCTTTATTCCATGTACCAGGCCCATCTTTTTTCCAAAGGCCATCTATGTGCTCGCAGGCAACAAAGCAGCAACAGCGTAGCACTCATGTTGTCTGTGTTGGCGCCATCACGCATCAGCGTTTTCCGAACCAAGCAAGGAGTTCATCGATTCATCACCACCAACACTGCTTTACCACCATCGCCGCCACCACCACCACCACCACCACCACCAGCATCGTCACCGCCACTACCACCACCGCCGCCACCACCGCCACCACCACCACCAGTATCATCACCGCCACCACCACCACCGCCACCACCACCACAACCACCAGTATCATCACCGCCACCACCACCATCACCACCACCACCACCAGCATCACCACCACCACCATCACCACCACCACCACCACCACCACCACCACCACCACCACCACCACGACCACCACCACCACCACCACCACCACCACCACCACCACCACCACCACCACCACCACCACCACCACCACCACCACCACCACCACCAGAACAATTAATCAGAAAGACGAATCAACATAAAGCCCCATCATTACACTGGTGATGATAATTATATTAATCACCATCATTCTTGTCTTCTTCACAGCCACGCCATCTACGACAACACCAACTATACTGGCAACACCGGCAACGCCAACACCACTGCAACGTAGCAATGCCACTTTCGCTAGGACAACACATGAATCATCATCAGCTGCAACATGGAAATCGGTCATCAACAGCCGCCGTGCGACATGAGCACAAGCGGAACAGTAGGCAAGCTGAAGCAACAGGGAAAGAACAAGACCGACAAGACAGGCAACAATTGAGAATCGATTTGAGGGAGAGACATGACGGCTGATATGTCATTTGTATTCCATGTTTTTTGATGGAAGGCAAGTAGAAAGTAGAAAGAGGGATCCTGTGCTGCAAAACCTGGCTTGTTGGGTATTTTCCCCCGTTTTCAGCCTCACCCAAAAGGGCGACTTAGGATCTCCCACCATTTTGAAGCCCAGCCAAGCCATGTTTGCTGGAGGCTAGGTCCCCCAGTAGTGCCCTTCTCTCCCCTTTGGGGGAGGGTCCCCTACTAAAAGAGACTACAGAAGAAAGTTACCCTTCTTCTAAGCTTTCAACTGGAGGACCTAGGAGGGCTTTCACCAGGTTTCCCACGGGTGGACGCCCGGCAGGCTTGGCAGCCGAGTCAGGAGGCCAAGCGGGAAGCACTTCGCTCCAAGGCGGTCAGAGGACGGGGACTTTATCATCTGGGGTAGATTTAGGATACATTTTACATTTTACCAGTGGCTCAAAGTGAAGCAAACAATAAAATATACATTCTATAACTGGGCCTAACTCTAATCATGTCATGGCCAGGTGGGGTTGGGTGAAGATGCGGGGTCCCCGAAAGGATATTCATATTAAGGATATATATATATAATATACCTTTGGGCTAGTTGAAGAAAGAATAACTGATATTGAGGTAGGTTGGTGAAACTAGAGGGTCCCTTGAAGGATATTAAGGATATAGTATCTTTGGGCCAGTTGAATAAAGAAACACGAATATCAATATAAAGGATATATACGATTATACAATTGTTGAAAGGATATTCATATTAAGGATATATATATATTATGCCTTTGGGCTAGTTGAAGAAAGAACAACTTTCGCCTGCTGATTCAGAGAATCTCCTTGCAAAAGCGGGTGGTTTTTGGATGCATGCTTTGAAGGAACCCTGAGTCAGTACCAAAGAAGCTGGGTCCCAAGTCGACATCTTCAGCTGTTCTCAAGATTACCTTCGCGGTCCCGACCCTTTAGGGCAATTTTGAGGATGCCACTTTTAGGGGGGAAGCGAGATATCCTTTCCAGTTCGGGATTGCGAAAAGTGCACTCGCCTTTGGCAGTTCCATGTTGTTCTCATGTAGGTGGTGTCCTTTTGTTTACCCATCAATAAAACAGGAGAGGAGAACACATCACAACTCGCCATCTCTGCTACTGTATACCAGGCTGTAGGCTACGGGTGGGATAGAGCATAAGTTCACGTTGGTCTGTTTCAGCGTACCCTTCCACCAACTAACATGGAAGTGCGCAAATTCCCTTTCCAAAAGGAAGTAGTTTTTCCACAGAGGTTTGTGCACTGGCATGTTAGCCGGTGGGAGGGTACCGTTTGCCCTGCTTGGACGGTTTGGAATGGCTAACTCACCAAGCCCGTAGCAGCCCCTAAGTTGGGCCCAGTTCCAAACAAGCTTTACACTTGAGGGTGGACAAAAAGTCACCCTCCGGCAAATGCACATGGAGCCTGACGGTCGGGGGAACCTGGCTTCAACCATTTTCCTTTCAAAGAGACCCCCGAACATCAGGGTGCAAGTGAAACGGGTGGGAGGTTAAATCAGATGTAAGTAGAGCTAGAAACCATAGTTATCAATCAAATAGGGCATGGACCCATGGATTTCCCACCCAATGTCCTTGTTGAAATCTCCAAATGCCAACAAATCCAACCATTCATTGGGTATACGTACCAAATGATTGTTTCTCGGTTCGTCCAACCATTCCCATTTTATTTCGCCTCTCCATACGTGGAGAGGACAGGGCGGCAGCCAGTCAGACCATTGCTTTTGGGTGGCCATCATGGAGGCTCGGAGCGTCGAGCGACGCGACCGAATGCGGAAGAGTCCGGAGGTTTCTACATTTGGGTTTGAACACCTTCCAGTTTGAGCACGAGTTTGAAGCCCTCCATGACTCCATGGTCCAGGACGAAAGTTTTGAGCCAAGGGACACTCTGGGTAGCGTCGGAACCCATTTGTTGGAAGGGGTCAAGGGGTCCTCTATTTTGAGACATACCAATTTCAGTGGTGCTTTGGCTCCCAATGCGCAAACTTGGCCCATTTGGGGGAATCCAAAAGGCAGTTGTTTGAGCAAGCTGGCTCAACCTTGATACTTTCTCCTCAGGGTGTCAACATGTTGTTTTGGAAAGGCCAGTTTGAAGCGAGCGATCATACGGCGGCTAGGTGAAGTCGAGGCAGCTTCCAAGCAATTGGCGCGGGCTTAATGCCTCTGCCTATGACTCAGCAGATTTCCTCTTTAGTGGGGTGATAGTGAAGATGGACGAAATCCTGCGCCACCTAAGACACCCTGGAATCATGATTCCCCTGTAAATGCCAACGAACATTGATTCTTCATGGTTTTCATTTTGGTGCTGGATTTCGTCCATCCACAGTATTTGAAGGGGGCACAGGAACAACAAACAATATGTTGTTGTTTTTTTGGAGGGGTACTTGTTTGTTGTACTTTCGGTTGGGGTCAAAGGCTGAGGTAGTGATAAGGAAAGCGCAGCGCGCTTAATGAGTTCGAAGAGCACATGACATTGCCTGTGTGTGTGTGATGCAAGGGCGTCCTGGTGAAACCAAAATCCTGTCGGCCAACAACACCTGGGCTGTTCCAAACAAATCCTCAATCCTTAATGCCAGATGGTCGTCGCGCTCCTTCTTGCAGTGGTGTCTCACCACGAATGCGGATCCCGGCCCGCCCAGCTTGAACAGCCCAGGCAGATGACCAGAAAAAGCCATGTAAAACCTTCAGGCAAGCCGCCGTGTGGGCGGCTTGCCCTTGTCGGCCAAACAGCCCGTCCCCAACAGCGACCCCCAAGAACCTTCATGGCAAGGGGAGCCATAGGAGGGTGGCCCATGGCCCCTGGCCATTGCTTGGCTCCCAGCCATCCGGTTCCTTGCCCTTTGAGCTTTCTGAGTTTTTGGTGGATGGATGTCCGTTTCACCCACTAGAAGTTAAACTTTTAGCAGGAGATCTGAGGGCAGCCCAGATTTGTCAAGAGTTACTAGGTTGCAATGGCTCCCCCGTGCTACGGCTCCGAAGTAGCACCCTTCCTCCGAACATTGCACCCGCAGGAGGGTGCCAGGACGAATTTCCTCTTCAATGCCCCCCCTGCCATGTTAGTGGCTGTTGGTGGAAGGAATGGGATTTCACAAAAGCCAGCCGCCCCTTCGACCTTTGTGGAAACCCATGGGTTTTTCCAACTCAAACCCGAGCAAGCGCTTGGATTTGCGTGGTGCTTGGTGCTTGGGGGGGAGCCTTGGAGGAGCCCGGGTGAGGCTTCGAATCGCTCGCGAGGCCTTTGTTGCGGCCAAGAGCCGCAAGAGCTTCTGCATGGACTTGGGCCTCTCCTTGGAGCGGATGGTGGAGGCG